CTTCTTTCTGAACCATTTGATTATGATTTCACTCAAATGCTGATTAGTTAATTAATCCCTCAGTGTGTTTTGTTGTTTGCCTGCCACATACCGTGTGTCTAAATGCAAAATGAGCTTTTTTAACATACATAAGAAACCATGTTTATAAGCTAATTATGCCAATTTCAACTATTTCTTGAAAGAATAAATGTTGGGGAAAAAAGGAAAATTGAAAAATTGCACATCATACTAAAGCTCTTGTGGGAAATCATTAATTTTTATTATTTTAGGAAAATACCATACTTACTGTCAGTGTAAAACTTGTGTTTATGTGACGGTACTGTACTCCCTAGATGTTCAGTGTGAGTACTGTGTTAATGGAAAGTATTCCAAGGCATGAGCAATTAATACTGGTGTAGTGTGCTAGAGACACTGAATATTACAATTCATGTCATTTTTTTGTGGAATCATAAAAATTCATAAGCGTATCCAGTGTAGTTTCAACAAAGATGAAAAAATGTTTGAATTTCTTTTCTGTATAATTCAGTATACCCAATGAGTCTGTATGCAAAACACACTAACCTACACATTAACACCATCTGTTTTCAGATTCCTATCTCTACTAAGTGCTATTGCCTCCTCTTAGATGAGATCTTGAGACAAACCTGGAATTGGCCTCATCAGAAGCCACAGAACCCAATACCATATATGTCTGATACTTGCTTGCAATACAATCTTTACTATTATTTACTATATTTACTATTTAATTTGGACTTCTTGTTTTACGGAACTTTGTGATTATGTTAATTTGCTTGTGACTAGCTTTATACATGAAAAGTACTAAGTCCAATCAGTAAAAAGCTGTCTGTCTTTTCTTAGGTAGAATTACACCGTTGCACTTGGGAGCACTGCTGCACATTTTAATTATTATTATTTTTTACCATCAATGCCTTTTAAAACAGTCTAAAATACATACAGCTTTTTAGCATAATTAGTTTCTGTCTAATAATTTAGACAGTCTTCAATTTCTGCTAGCACAGCTTAGATCCAGCGACACAGCCAGCTTCTCATTGCCCAGGATTCTAAAAGAAATCTTGGGGGGTGCTGCAATGAATTCACAGCGGTTATTCCTACTGATTCCAGTGATAGCAGGGGCTTGCTTACAATTCTCTAGAAACCAAAATACCAATGAATTGGAGCCAAAGAGTGTTTCTCCTACACAACATCTGTTAAATGAGAGACAACCTCAGCCTGGGAGCCTTGAATCCCCCAGTCCCAGGGCAGGGGATTCCCCATACGGCACGTTGCCTCAGCGCTCCCGTTCCTAGAGGTGTGCTGACATCTGACAGTGATACCCGTGAGTGTTCTGCCAAAAATACTGACTGTAATAGCGGATAATACCGAAGCTCCTCTTTTATTGCTCGCCAAAAATGTCTGTTCAGAGTGCAACGTGTGAGGGTAAATTCAGGCTCTGTCAAAGCCAGCTGGAGTTTTGCCCTCAAATCTGATGGAGCTAAGAGTTCATCTGTCATGTCTTATGGATAACATAATGCAGTCTCCTTAGGGAGCCAAATGTTACCTCTGTTGTAGTGGGTTGTAAAACCCATTATATACATCCTTCATTCAGACCAATATTTCTCAGAATCCTAAAACACAACTTTTGCTCTTGTTCCTGCTCTTCTCCTTTTGGTTCTCACGCAGGAAATTGTGCGTGCAGTCCTATGATGTCCCATTCAATAAAATTCTTTAATTTAAGTAATGATAGGGCAAGAGCCTTGAATTTAGATACGGAGAAGTGAATGAAGTCAAATACAGTGGTATCTAACCAAAAAAACAAGCTAAGCAAAAAGGTAGTAAATTCTATCATATGGTAAGGCTGGAAAATATTTGTGATCCCAGAGTGAGAAGCTGTACTGAATGGAAAAAATAGAAGTTACCAAGTGTTACCTGAGAAAAAATAAGTGAGTATGCAGTCTCCTCACAGCATTACAAGTAATGTGACTGCTTGGACTTAGAGGTACAGTGAATTTTCATAATTCACTGTTAATCTTGGTCCAGAACAGTTCAGGGAACTGAACCAGACAGCACAGACTTAGCAGTGGTTGGCAGGGCTGCTGGCAGCCAGCATCAGGTGGAGAGCAGGGCTGTATTTCTGTTTGTACTGAGATGGTAAGCAAAATTCTGTGCCCTTAGGAGGAAAGGATTAAAAATGCGTTATCTTTTTTTCTTAGGTGTTAATAACAGCATATCTGCTCACTGGCATTGTTGGTGTGGAAGTTTGGCAGAAGCCTTTCCTGTTTGGTTATTACATTACAGATGTTTTAGTAATCTTGCTTATAGGTAAGTGCCTGGATCCATAAAGAACTTCACTGTTATTTAATTCCTTTGATCAGATAATTCCCTATTTTGCATATAAATTTCCTTTTCCTTTTGCAAGCATTGGCCAGTCCCAAGCTGACATGAATAGAGGTGATTAATAAGAGTCTTACTGGTAAACTTAAGCTGGAAACATTTTTCCTGAATTCATCTGTTGTATACAAATAACACAAAAATCGTTCCTCAGTTATACATGCAGATCAGTGTGCTGTTCTGGCTGTTTTCAAACACTCACAAACTTCTACTATCAGTCAGGTAAAATGTTGCTCACATTTACATATGGTAAAAGATAAGTAGTTCAGCCTGCAGCACACTACAATCCAAAACATCATGGATAGAAGAAAGATATTATTTAAATAACGAGAGGAGGCAAAGCTGTAGATCTAGATGGTTTCTAAGTTCTGTTTTTAGAATTACTCTCAGACCAGAAGTATACATTTTTCATACACAGCAGTTGCCAGTTTGCTCGTTGCTTGACACTGTCAGTGTATCTTGAAGTAAGCAAAGAGCACCTTCCAGCTGCCACAGCTAGACTAAGAACATGAGTTACATTGCAATGAGCTACAACAGCAGTCTTAGATACAAAGGTGTGCATGTGGAATGCTTCCGTGTGTTGATTGGAAGGTGACAACATCAGCATATGTATTTTTCCAGGATTTCTATATGAACTTACAAGTAATGACAAGCGGGCACAAAACAAAGGGTTTGGCACAGGCCAGACAGACAGAAATGGCCTTGAGCCAGATAGAGGACTTGAGAAAAGGCTATCACCCAGATCCAACCCCAGGCAGGGGCTGCCAACATGTTTGTTGGGGTGCTTCTAAACCTGCTGCATTTGCACAGCTTCGTGTTGTCACCTGCCTGCAGAGATGTCTGCAGCATCTAAAACTGATCCTGTGTGACTGAAGTTGAGCAGTCTTTTTATTTGTCAGGACTGTTGTGAGCACAGAGAAAAAGGAAGAAAGGAAAGGGCAAAAGCAGTTGGCTGCCCTTTTGGTAGGCAATGCAAGGATCAATCTGGCCGTGTGCAGTGAGGAAATGCCCTCTGGTGGGAAGAGGGAGCTCTGTCGGCTCTGGGAGCCGTGCTGCAGAGCCAGAGATGGGTGCTGGCTTCTGAGTGAGCTGTGCTGCTGGGGTCTGCGAGTGCAGAGCTCCATCCACACAATCTACATCATTTCTGCTCCTCTTGTCAAGGCACATGACAGCTGCCTCTATGAGGATCTGGATGCACTTGGGAAGTCGTGGGTGAAGGTTAAGCTCAAACTAGTCAATGTATTAGGAAGGACTGTGCTAGGAAAGCACATCAGCATGACAAAATCCATAGAACTGAGCATCTTTTTTCATATTCTACTGCAAAGTGAAGTTTGATAGAATGTTCCTTTAGATTTAGGAAGAAGCGCTGCTTCTGTCTAGTGTTGCATGGCTGGATTCATAAGCAGGGAGCTGAGTACTTCTTCCATCCTTGTCCCAAGCAGAGGAAATATAACTGAGAGCCAAAACGTTTCTTTGAAAACATTGTTTCTTGCACTTTGTCTATAATGCCATTAGCAGGGCAACTTTTGCAGCTCAATTATACCTTTAATAAAGGTGTAAAGTATGCAATGCTTAGTAGCATTCTGATCCAGAGAACACTTCAGCTTTGTCACAGGTATGAATCCCAGTTCAACAACAGTGCTTAGAATGTTTTATCACTGGATAAACTGTGTGCTGTAAATCTGGATATATGAAGTTTTTAGAAGCTTGCAGTAAATCCCAGGAACCCACTGTGCCCACTGAAAGAGCACTGAGGTAGCCCGCACCAAGGGCAGAGCACACCTTGCTTGGCCAGACCTGTTTGTCTCAAGTCACCTCCCTGCAGAATGCTCAGCTCACTGCCTCTGTGGCCACTCAAAACCCAGAGCAATGCAATAGGGCCTCTGCAGCTTTTTATGAGTTTGTTTCCCAGAACTCTGAGAGGAGCCTTTAAGCCCTAACTGCTATCCTTCACCATCTGATGGCATTTAAGAGTCAGCAGTGCTCACTCTAACAACAGACCTGCACGTCTGCTTCATCAATACTTGGCAAAGAGCATGCCTGCAGTTTTGTGCTTTTACTGTTCTGTACACAACAGGAGTTCAACTGCTGAGCTGTCACTTTTCTGAGCACAGCTGGGCTTTAGCTAGCTAGTACCTTTTATAGTGGGAAGAAATCCAAACAAGAAGCACAGGAGTGGAGTTTTTCAGATGTGTTTCCTGGAGTTTCTCGGAGAAAAAGAAAAAAAAGAAGAGCCCACATATAACCTCAGGATGAACTCTACTCCAAGCACATCCTCAGTGGAAGCTACAGTATCACCAGGTGACATTCACTCCCCCAAAAAGCAATTTTTATCAGGTGCCAGAACACAGAAAGATATACATAAAAACCACAGTGATACCGGTGTTTAGATTAGAAGCTTTATGAAAACCTCCCAAGAGAGAGCTTTACATATGTCCCTGGGAACTGTCTTGCACACAGTGAACACCTGTAGGAAGGTCAGCACTTGGGCTGCTGAAAAGTGCCCTCGGAGGCCTTTTTTGTGAAGCTGAGAAACTTCTGCAGAGTGTTCTGTGGGAATTCTGCTACCCAGTGAATAGGAACATGTAATTTCTGCAGGCAGTGAATGCAATTCCATCCTGAAGCTCCAGTCCTTATGCCCCCTAACACACACCTAGCTGAGCATCAAACAAAATAAAAAAGGCTGTTCTCCGTTTCCAGAGCCTTCTGGACAGAAATACCTTTGTTTTTTTTCCCCTCTTAGCATGAAAGTAGCCAGACCTTTCTAAAGTTATGTGCCTGTGTGCTCAGCTGGAACTAATTACTTCTGCTCTCACCAAAGCTTTTGTGGATGACACTCCAAAAGCCCCACTGGGATTTAACCACAACTGTCCCATAGCATTATCTGGCTAACGAGGGTCTCTTCAAAGGGCACCACTGGGGTGAGACCCATCATTTATTTTCACCCCTCCAGGATGCCCCAAATACCAGGCATTCCCTGTCACTGCCTTATCGGGTTGAGAGCCATATAAAATATTTACAATAAGCATTTTAAAACAATCAGTTTGCTACATGCAGTCTAGTACCAAAAATGATGCCAAAAGATGTCACAGACTTTATACAAAGATTTTAATTGACAGATAAACGTCAGTAGTTTAAGGAGCAGCATTACTAATTGATTATGTTTTCTGTCTCACATTGCAATTACATGACCTATGATAGGGTGCATGAAGGTTTTTCATACTCAAGACACACACGCTAGCTCTCTGTGGAATAGATTTTATAACGTGCAATAAAATCTGAGCTCAGGCTGCAATCTTCTCCTCACTGGAAACATCCATGTAACTGTTTTCCTTTACTTGACTGTTTATATCCAGGCAACTTACAGGAAATGTCTTTCAACCTATTAAATTTGTTCAGAATTGAATAGGCAAAGTGTTATCAGTAGTATCAGCTTCATTCCTTAGGGTGCCATGTTGGAAAAACTACTCCTAGGTGCACAGAAAGGTTCCTGCTCCTCCTCAGTATCAATTGCCGTTGCAGAACAATGCTTTGTGGTTGAAAGATCACCAGAGCAGAGTGGATATGCTGTGCTTCATTGATGTGTGGCACACGGAGCCGGCAGTTTTGCCCTCCAAACCCAGGGGCACATTTGAGTCTGCTCTATCTGGTGAGCAGCAGTGCCCACATCTGGCTCGTGAAGCTTGTGGCAAAGCTGGTGCAAATTTTCAAAGTACAGGTTTGAACATGAAATGTTCAGTGGAGTACTAACAGCTGTCGTAGATAGGAAACTTGAACTTTCTCTTAGAGATGGAGCCAAAGGATTCAGAATTTTTTCCTACGATGTGAACTGGATTGGGTCCTGTACTCTGCAAGGAGTGTGTGTGCCTTGAGGTTGCTCATTTCTCTGAGCTACTTAAGTACGTGAAATAGGGAATGAGTGCATAAAATAAAACACATTAGCAGCAAAAAAAACTAATGATCAGACCAAGCTGCATTTAAAACATGCCAAGTATTTCAATTCTGTAATATCGAGAAAGCACAGTTATTCATCTAAAGCAGTTCTTAACCGATGTCCTATACTGTATGGATTGAAGGAGGACAGAGAAGTCATACAGCTGGCAATTATACAACAGCCTGTTCCTTTTTCCATGTAACAAAATTTTAGAAGGCCATGGTCAAACAGCCATCATCTGAAATGCGCATTTCTTTAGTTGAGTTTTTTTGGTCCAAGTCAGTGTTACAGTTAAAACATACCTGATATTTTATTCATTTGAATATATCTCCTGCAGGCCAACCCTTCACAGGACATTCATTCCCCTAAATCCATTCAGTAGATCTGCATCACAGCAGGCAGGCAGGTTTCTTCTGGCTGGAGCAATCTGGACACGGCCCTCTACCTCTTCTCTGGGGCGCAGTTGCAAGTGAGGCAGTTTGCTTTCCCATGGAAAACCGGTGATGTTGGGAGCCTTCATAGCAATGCAAGGCACCGATCACAAAGACAACTTAAATGCACTTCTGATGGTGGAAGGAATTTTTCTTTCTCACATACATTAATTGTGTATTTTTTTCTGCTTCATGCCAATATGACATTCTCCACTGATTTTCTATAGTTCCCATTGCAAAGTAGCTGATTGTTCTGCCTCACTGTTGGACAATTAAGTGATTAAACGCTCAGTTAAATGTTTTCTAAATGCTATCACTCCTACAGGCCCTGACTAGCCTTGTCTAAAAAGTGTAGTTAACATGAGTTTGCTTCTACTGCTCTGTCACCAATTTACCATCTATTAAGGCATTGCTGTGACAGATTATACAAGGCTTTATAAGAAAAGGGTGTGAAATACTCATTTGTCGCTCCAGGTCTACATAAAACACACTGAAGTTCGTGTATAGAATAACCCATCCAAAATAGCCACAATAACCCAGAAAACAAGAGCTCTGAGTGTTGCTGGCAGGATTACACCCTGAAACTCTGGGGTGAACCCTGAACCTCCAATCAGTGGTGTTGATCAAGATTCCATGATGGTGACTGTGACAATGATGTGGTTTCATTTCACAGGCAGTGAGAGCCCCAAAAGGGAAGTCACACAAGGGAACTCACCTGGCAGGGACCATCTGGTGGCCAGCCTTGAGTTTTCGACTAAGGGCACTGCTCCTCAGGTGCTTGATTCTTGCTGTATGCTGAAAAAGAAACTTGAACATCCATGCTTTTAAACAAGACTACATCAAAGCAGCAACTGCATCCATAACCTAATTTCCCAGCCTATACTAAAGCCCTCCAAATGCTAATTGTTACCTTGCAGCTCAGTTCAAAGAGATTAATGTTCTTAGACTTTGAAAATAAGCTATAAAATCAGAAAGCATGACAAATGCATCCCTTTACTGCTTTATACTCAGTGTCTGAGATTCTAAACATCGCAAACTTACATCAGCTTTTTGCATGAATGCAGTACTCATGTTTACACAGTACTCTTAATCATGTCAAATCCTTTGAGAGTGTGTAGGTGTGTCCAGGTTTATTTTTCATCTGTCCTTAAATTACTTAATACAAAATTCTAAATTTACAGGCGCAATTCAGTCTGAAAATTATAAGTTTAAGAGTTTTCTTCACTTACTCAGTGGTTATAAGATTGCAATTTTATGTAACTGTAATTATGTAAGTAAAATGTAATTTTATAGTAGACTGGACAACTGAACATGCAGTAATCTGTGTGCACAACCAGTTATGAGTTTTCTTCCCAGGAAATGCGTGGGAAAGCCACACGGTTCCACAAAAGCTGCTGTTCCTGCTGGAAATGCTCCTGAATGTTCACCTTTCAATGAAGCCGGCTTTCAGGCACTGCTCAGCATGCTGAGATATGTTTTATAGATCTGGCTGTTCTAAATGTGGAAGACGTTTGGAAAAAAATCATGGAAAAAAAATTGAAGAATTTTTCAAGCTTACATTGAGGCCTAAATATTTTCAATCTTCCTTTTTTTTTTTTTCTAGTGGAAAAGGAAGTACTTGCTATCCCATTCTTTTGAAACAAGCATAGTCTATGATGAATAAGCTAATGAAGAATAAGGGAGGAGGGTGATGATATTTAAATCATAGGTGCAACATCAGCAGTAAAAGTGTTGGTTTTTACTCAGTAGAGCTTCTGCAGTATGCAAAGGAAAAGGTCTGTGCAGGGCTCTCCACAATTGCTCCAGGAACTCTGTTCTGGGGGAGGACAGGGAATGGTAGGTACCCACCTAGAAGTGGGAAGACTTTGTGATGAAATAGGTGAGGAGAAAATAAACAGCTGAGATACCTCTTCCTTTGAAGCAGTGTATTTCATTAAAAATAGTGTCCTAGGCGTTCTAGCTGCCTACTTAGAGTTATTTTATTTAGCATTGCTTAAAATCTCTGTAGTTGGGTGAATTCAGGAACCTGGTTACCTGAGGCAGGCTAGGTCTTTTCTCTGGTTACTGTAAGAGCATTTTGTAGAGCTGACTGCAGTACCAGCTGCCAGTTTCTGGAGTCATCCTCCCTTTCACTACAACAAGCAAGTCACCCAGGTGGCTGCACTGTGCCATGGTGAGATAAGCCTTGCAGTTTTCATGCCATCAGGAGGTTTTGAGGAATGCTTTAAGATGCCTTCGTGTAAGTGAACTTAAATATGTCACTGCCAGTCTGCCATTACTGCCAGGTTAACAGTGGACAAATGTGTTGCATTGTCCATCTCTTGCTGTTTGTTTGTTTGTTTGTTTGTTTTCTGTTTTTGTTTTTTATTCACTCAGAAGTGTAGCACAACTAACACCTTAGCAGTTTTGGAACGGAATTTGAAAGAGGCAAATGAAATCTGAAGTTGTCACTAGAACTGATGGGAATTATCTTTTTGCCCTTTGCACACTTATATGTGTGTGCTTGAGTACATAACTGTCTGCATGCTTATAGATATATAAATCTCTATACGCATCCTTGCTCATGTTTGGAATACAAGATATGCCTTTATTTCTGACATATCTGTAATCCTGAATGCATTGGTATTGGGTTTTGGGTTATTTTTTTGGTAGTTGTTGTTTTTTAATATGGACAAGATAATTCCTGATAAAGAGCTTTGCAAATGCTTATTTCTCTGAAAATATCTCTGAGATATCGAAAGGCTCAGGACTGAGCATGGGATTGTGCCTAAATCCCAGGATTTGGGCTTGATGCCCAGCATGACACAAGAATTCCCTGTGTGTATCTGTGCCACCCATCTGTGCTTTGCATTTCTGCCCTCAGAGCAGAGCTGTTTTCTTACCTTTGGGATTCAGGATTTAAATTAGCTGGGGAAGATATTGAAGGTAAAACTGAAAAAATACAACAGCAGTGATATTTTTAACAAGCATGTGGGGGTTGGACTCCACAGTCTCTAGAGGTCCCTTCCAAACCCTGCCATTCTGTGAATCCATGAATTGTCTGTAGCTTCTAATGCACTAAGCTTGACTTTGTTACGATTTTAAAATAAAATGGGCTATTTAAAAAAAGAAAAAAGAAGAAAGCAGCAAGGCCATCCCTTGGGCATTGCAGAGCTGGACCAGCGCCTGAGGGACAGCATGGTGGTGGCTTTCCAGGCTGCACCTTTTGTTCCCTGGACCAGCAGGGAATGGCAGCAATGCGGAAGCAGTAATTTAGCTCCCAGGCACAAAGGGCTTCTTAATGCCAATTAAAAGACAGACTTAATGAGTACCAAAAGCAGCCCCCTAGCCAGGCCTCCTTAGCTAAAAGACGATGGGGGAGAGCAACGTGTTGTAGGAAATGATGGAATTTTGAAAATCCTGTAAGAAAGAGGGGAACACCCTTTGCCTTCCCTACTGCATCCTCTGCGCTCAGTTTGTTAAAGGAAAGGTGTCTAAAAATACAGAGGAGTGACTGCTGTAACTGTCCCAGTCCAAAAGGGACTTTCAGCTATAGCTTGGGGATTGTTTGTGGTCAGCATGTTATTTCTAACTGAAATGGCACTTCATAAAAATAACAAATTGCTGGCAACCATTGGGCTTTGAATTCTATTTCTAGTTGCAGTCTCTATTTCTGTTCCTCTTGGTTGCTTTTCTCCTAACAAATCAAACTTCAGGATTGCAGCAGGAAATTTAGATTTAACCTCAAGAGTCAATGTTTTGTCTCATGTCTGCTCTAATGTGATGCAGATGTTGGAACTGCTGTATGTTACTCAAGCTTTTATTGAACCAGCCCTCCCTGCCTAATAGAAAACATAGATAACTGCAGTGCACATGAAGCACAGATCATTCTGAAGGCACTAAGCTTGCAAATTTTGTAAATACATTTACAAAACACTTGAGCTGTAACTTCAGTTGCAAAGCCTTCAGCTGTGTGATACAGAGATTCCTCCATGGCAAAGAAGCAGAGCTCTTCATCTTATCTGTTTTAAGAAGCAACAGGAAGTAAACAAATGAAAATGCAATACCTGAAAGGACTTGCAGGCTGGATATTCTTTTTCCAATTCTCTGTTTCTTCTCCTTTAAAAGATAATTGAGAAGACTGCAGAAATAGAATATCTATTGTATCCCTTTTTATTTGTTTTCCAGCAATCCTGGAATCTCTACTATCCCTGCACTTTTAGTTTTCCTTCTCCTGTGTTGCCACTCTGGCCATGCTAAGACTTAGGTATGTCTTTGATGAGGGCTGAATGCTAAACACTGACATTTCGTGAGAGTCCACTATTCTGCACTGACTCTGGTGCTAAGTAATTTGGAATGGTTCTTTCTTGTGCTCGTTCCTGCTGCCTTGTAATTTGTAATATTTCTAATAATGAGATGAAAGTGTGTTGTACTGACTGCGCGTGTGAAATTTTAAGGGCAAAGCAAAAAGTTTACAAAATCTGTGTTATTCTTCCCCCTACAAAATATTAATTACGCGTGCATTTAGTGCTCCCTTGGTGATCTTCAAGTATTATATTCTAGAAGCCAGGCAGAAATATATATGCTGCTGAGAGCCATCTCCGAGCAACAAACCGACCAGGCAGAGGTACTTGATACAGGAAAACCAAAACCAAAGAGCTCTGTGAGAAAATGGATATCACGGAGTAAAGAAGGTCATACATGCTCACCTAGTTGGGCTGACTACTGCTGCTGCTTTTTAAAAGCACTTGAATGCTCACTTCTTGCTGGAGTCCTTCTGTGCCCCTTGGACGAATGCATTCTGTGTGGGGGTGTTGCACAGGGCACCACGCGGGTCCTCAGCCAGCGCCTGGGTCCTTGGCAGCAGCAAGGCACAGAGACACAGAGTTAACAAAGGCAAATTCCTTGTCCTTTATTGGTTAAAGCTGAGCTCCAGAAAGGTCACAGCTGTATTTAAAAAGCAAAACAAAACAACAACTCATCAAAATGATGGCTATATCATGAAAATTAATTCCCTTACGCCACTGTCTCAGCAAAGCCTCACATTAATTGCATCTCAGCATATTGGACCATAAACCTATTATTTCCCCACTGATGTGGGCAGCGCTGTTGAAGATTAATTATCCTTATGTATTCCATTGGAAAGCTTCTGGTGTCAGATTTGTCTCTCTCTACATGAACAGAGAGCAGCTCACGCAAAATGGGGCTGTGGTCTTTCTTAGATCCTGCAGAGGAACCTGCACTGCACACAATTGATTGTACTGACTTGTGGCATCACGTTTTAAAAGTCTTGCAGCTTTTGTCACTCACTGCACAAGAAAATCTGTATCAGCAACTACTTCTAGCAGCTAACACTTGGAAAAATAAGGAAGGTTATGTTATTGCCTAAAGCCTCTGAATTTCATTTGCGTCCTGTGATGAATACTAGAATACCAAGTCATTTCTACAATGGCTCATTGGCTCTCTTGTCGTATGAGAGACTGTGGGATTGTCAAGCTGGTATGACTGTAAATCAGTACATATCAATCTCTCTTTTCTTCCAGGCTTCAGTTTACTTCTTTCATTTCCACAGACACTATACAACATCCACAGGTAAGTGAATTAACATTAAATAAGTTCTACCTCCCACCCCCCATTTAATTGTGTATTTAATGGTTTTGTTACATGAGAAATACATGTAGACTTTCAGCCAGCTGTTCTAAGATGGTACAGCAGCTTTTTTTTTCAGTCCAGCTTTCAGCATCTGACTGGCTTCTTTCCTATGTCTGTAGCCTCTCTAGTTTCCCTTTCACTTGCAGCTCCTCAGGCAGTCTCACACTGTTCCTGGATGGCAAAACAGTGAATGCCCTCTAGATATAAACAGTGTGTTTTATTTGCAGCCAAATGTGATCCCTGACTTTTACCCGCTTTAAGCAAAATTATGTAGCTGATCATCTCCACTCCATAAAGAGTTCATTGTCTTTCAGATCCTCCTGTAAAACTCTCTGTATGAAGGCTGCAGATAATTGCCATCAGATATGGGCTAGGCAGATGGCAAGTTGTGATTACATCTAAGAGTTGGCTTGCTGCACCTAGTGATTTCATACACAGCTCGCTTATACTCCAGTGGCCTATTTTATTAATGCTGTCTGCCTTCCTCTAGTATTTGCTAGCTCATTTCCCTCACCTGTCACATCGGGTCTCTCAGAACCCACATTTCCTGGAGGAGGGGCTGTCACTCCCTATCTTAAGGAATTAGTGGCAATGAGTGTTAGTGTGTTGATTTTGGAGAGACTCTAAGACAGCAGTGCAGAGCTCCTAAGAGGCCCTCACCTCATCGCAGTCTGCCCCCAGTGAGGAGTTGCGGGCATGAGGGGCTTTGCATCAGGGAGGGTGAGGAGGAGGAGGGCAGCACTGTGTTCTTTCCACTCATTTCGGGACTTTTGCTTAGTATTTGCCTCCTCATGTCATCATCTGACATAGGCCTTTTGGCAAGTTTTATCATCCCTCTAAGCAGAAGAGCACCCAATTCTAAACATCCAGCTGGAGTTGCTTGAAGGATCCACACACAAGCTATGTGCTGGTGAGGAATTTGTGTTTTCCAGTAATGCTCTTTCTCTCCATCCTGCTGTCTGTTCTCAGTCATTATTTTATCAGAAGGCTATTCTTTTTAGGACTGAAGAAAGTATTTATTGGCTTTTGGTCTAGCTGCTTTTATAAACACAGATAGTCAGAGATTTTAAACAGGACACTTCCCAGTACACTTCAAACACAGAATCGCTCATGTGAAAACTGTGTATGAAGAAATAGTTTAATGATAGTGAATTTTAGTACATTAAAGCTCCTACTGCTTTTATAACCTCTCAGCGTGTTCTGCCTGAGTGAGAATGCAAGCCAGATGCAAAAGGCACTGATGTTACATTTACCATTTTCCCATCTGACAGAAAATACAGTCCTTCGCTACCTTTATTTAGTACTGTCTCTAAAAAGCATCTTAAAACATCCAAGAAGAAAAACAAACAAATAATGCCTCACAGATTTTCCATCACTTTAGTTAGAAAAAAAAAAAAAAAAAAAAAGTACCCCCTACCTTTTGCCATTGCTGTGGGATTGTCCAGCATGTCTCCTCTCAATCCACGTAACAGCAATACCTGCCAGCCACACGCTCAGCTGTGTTGTCTCTGTATTGGCTGAAGTCATTTCCTGTCTTACATTAGAAGGTTAATCATCTAAAAATACACGTTTTGAGTTCACAGTAAGTTTGCATGCTGTGCATTTGGTGACACTGGAGCTACTACAGCTCACTGTGTGCAAGCCAAGGGGTCCACTGCCAGACAGTGACGAGAGAGGGGAGCTGACCAGAAGCTGTGTGAATAAAACAGTGCAATTATAATCCAGAAGTATGTCCCTTTTATATCCTACCCTTTCTCTTTAAAAGCTTAGGTACCTAACAGGTTTGTACAATTAGCTGTGTTGCAAAATGAATTCTTGGGCTGAGTTCAGGCTGGAGTTACTGTGCGGAAATGGAACGGATACATTTTCTTACTCCATAAAATCATTGTATTTATTTGCAGAGCACATTTAAGGAAAACACTGAAGAATGATTCTTTGTATGAAGGACTCCTACCTCTTGTGTCACCTCTGTTGCTCTTCATGCTTCTTACAGTCTGGGTGGTTTTATCTCCAGGCAACATATTAGCAAAGCAGCCAAGATTGTTTTTATGGATGGTTGGGGTTGCTTTCTCAAATGTTATTGTAAGTATGTTTGTGGTGATGGTATTATTTAGAGACAGATTTGTGTCAGCAAGACTTCTATTTTTATGTGGATAAACAGAAGGAGCAGAAACTGTAGTTAAAATTCAGCAGAATCGCCCACACTACTCCTCTTCCTCTGTGCTACGCTCCTTCTTACAAAAACACATCCCAGCAGTTGGCTGGGCTGGGGAGCTCACAGTGCTGCAGCATTTATTTCACCGCAGAAGAACATTTTGATGAAGGCTCTTCCCCTGCCCTTCGCCTCAGGGTTTTATGAACAACCCAGAGAGGCTTTAGTTCCAGAAACGTAGCAGCTATGCACTGGCACATCCAGAATCAAAGTACAGTAAAGCTGAATGCAGGCTCAGATTTACCAGCAAGAGTAGGGGTTGTCTGTAGCCTTTCCCCGCTGTTCTGCCTGTTAGCGTGTGCCACACACAGGTCAGATGGTCCTGCATCTCCTCGTCACTGCTCAGAATAAGGCCGTGCTGCAGACAGCAGCTTTTAGGGAAAGACACGAAGTGATGCAGGAGCACAGGGATGGCTCTGCACCCAAGGACTTCCTTCCTCAAGCCACATCAACACTGTTTCCAGTTTCCCCCTTTTAGTGACTGTGAGGCAACATAAACCGTGAGCAACTCCACTATGGAGACAGGCTGAGGGAGCTGGGCTCTTCTGGGAGAAGAGAAGGCTGCGGGGTGACCTCACTGCAGCCTTTCAGTACCTAAAGGGAGCCCACAGTCAGGAGGGGAATCAACTCTTTGAAAGGGTTGATAACTGCAGGACAAGGGGAAATGTTTTAAGTTGAGGAAGGGGAGATTTAGGTTGGATATCAGAAAGTCCTTTACAGAGAGAGTGGTGAGGTGCTGGAACAGGCTGCCCAGAGAGGTTGTGGATGCCCTGTTCCTGGAGGTGTTCAAGGCCACGTTGGATGGGGCCCTGGGCAGCCTGGTTACACGGGGAAGTTGGTGTCCCTGCCTGTGGCGGGGGGGTTGGAGATTCATGATCCTTGAGGTCCCTTCCAATCCTGGCCATTGTGTGATTCTGTGATAAACCATAGCAAAGTAATAGCGTGGGCAGGCAGGCGCAGTCAGTAGTGGGGCCATGGCAGGAAACACAGGGCTGAAGCCTCATGCTTCTCTTCCTTCCTGGAGAGCAGTAGCCTAGAGAAAGCTATTTCTCTAGCTAGCACTAAAATATCCTAAAGCATTGCACTGGTTGACTTGTTAGGAAGGCAATCTGCAATAGCATGTCTGAGCAACACTGCATTCCATTTAAAAAGTGGAAGTCTCAAAGTGCCTTGTGTTGGGAGAGAGAGCTTTGAGAATACAGGAATTTTCAAAAGGAAAGCAGCACTCTTTTAGGAACTGTATCAAGGCATGGGAAAAAATCTTAACTGTGCTCCTTGATAAATGCCTTTTACAAATGTGCATTCCTGAAGGTCACAGACAACTCCATAGTAAGGAATCAGTCCCATAGAAGTCACAGAATCACAGAATCACAAGGGTTGGAAGCAGTAGCTTCACCATAGACTGCAGTTTACAAGGCACTGAGTGCAGCGCGCTGAATGCGAGGCCTTGTTTTCCTTGAACCAAGGCATCTGCTGCGGTACGAGAGGAATTAAAAATGTATGCATGTTAGTTGAAATGTATAACATTTAAAAAGCGGGCATAAAAAATGTATGTGTATTAGTTGTAATCTTTAACATTTAAAAGCGAAAGCTGGGCCCCCGGTTCCTCTCACCTCCCCCGGCCCCTCGCTCCCTGCAGCAGGGACGGTTGTCATGGCAATGTGCATCTTCCTCCAGCCTGACAGGCCGACTTGTCCTTGTCTGCTCTGCACATGCCTGTGTGATGGCCTCCCCCAAGACGGCAGGTGAAAGGCATCCAGCCCATCCTGAGAGATGGGGCATTCCCTGCATTTTTGGCTAAACAGAGGCAGAAGGGCCTGGAAAGGAAACCTACTGGCCTGGCAGAGAGGTGAGAGAAGTTCTGCAACCCTGCTTGGCACTCAGCTTGCACTGCTCCAAATACTCACTGTAAATCTTTATGAAGGATTGAGTAATGTACTTAACAAGGTGTAATAATGATTTAAAACAGTGTGAAATCCAACCTTGGGACAGGTGCAATTATTCAGTCAGGAACTATAGCCTATATCCATGAATTGGAGAGATTGCTTTAGCAACGTCTGGAGCGGTTCCTAAAAGGCTTGTAGAATTGGTGCTACTTGAAACATTCATCATCCATACTGATAATTCACTGTAAGCAAATAAGTTTACAGTACGTGCAGACACACATTGCATTATTGAAAGGTTTTCATTTTTGGACATTCTTCATGCCATTATTTTTTCCCTATCGTTAGATTTCATTCAGACTGCTACTGCTGCTCTTATGGGATTTCAAGCACTGCACAGGGAAAGGTTTTTTATTTTTTTCAGTGTTTTCAGGATGCATAACATCTGTTTTTAATGATATTCAAATTCTGAATGAAGCTTAAATGGATAAAACTTTCCTAAAATTCAAAAGGGAATGTTGTACATGAGACAAAAAATCCTAAGGAGGCTCAAACAGATAAAACACTTGAGTATTTAACTGTATAAATGTGATCTTGATCTCATGACCGTTCAAGGTCTCAGTAAAATGAAGCTAACTGCTTTCAGCTGAATGTATCCATTTTTTCTGCCATTCTGGGTGGGATCCCTTTCCTACGGCCCCAGCTCCATCCCAGAGAGAGCCCACTGCCATAACTGAGACAGGGAAGCGATGCTGCTCAGGGGGTTGATGTGGTACAGGAAGGAGTGCTAGAACAGAAAAACAGCATTCAGAAGAGGCCTATTACTTCCTCTCCCTTACACACGGCAAACCAGAATACATCTCTCCGTGCCATGTGCCATGTGATTAGAATACCACTGTGCTCTCCCAGTGATTAAGTGGTGGCAATTTGATTTGGGATTACGACTTTATGAGGCTGTGTGAAAGCACAGTGTCAAACAAACTCCCCTTTTGCGAAAGCAGGCTTCAGCTCATAAAGTGTAGCATGTCAAAACATTGCCTCCTTGAAAGAAGTGTATATTTTCAATTACCTGTAATAAAGTCCTTAAAGAACCACAGACAACAAGGCACAAAGGCCGTCGATAGCAGTTTCCATTGCAGAAACAGGCTCCATTTTGAGGTCTAGCCTATTTTTCCCCATCGAAAGCAACCTGAAGAAAAAATGGATGAAGGCTGTTAGGAGCGAGCCGGCTGCCCCAGCACTTCTCACCCATCTGCCTTTCTTCCCACAGTGCAAAGTCATCATCTGCCAGATGAGCAGCACACAGCCGGAGCTGCTGCACTGGTTCCTGTTTCCCTTGGCACTGGTGGTCTACGCAGCCATCTCAGGGCTGCTGGGTCAGGCAGAGGAAGCCGTGCTGGGTGCATTCACAGCGCTGCTCACGGCCGCACACGTGCACTACGGCATCTGTGTGGTAAGGGGCCGGGGGGAGCTGTGCGCTCTGCGTGGGTGAGGGGCTTCTGGAGGGGGGTTTGTGTGTTGTCTGGGTGGGGTGCTGTCCTGGAGTCCAAGCGTTAAGCTATGGCTTCCTCACGTGTTGCATGTAGCTCATCAATGGGGCGTGGATGCCCTCTCATCTTCTCTCTTTCTCCTCCTGACGTTACTTGAGTGAAAAAAGCAGGAAGGTAAAGGGGGAGGTAAGATGTGTCACATTCTTACAGTAAGGCGGTCAACTTTGCTTTGAATCCACAAGCAAAACAGCTGCTCGAATTTCTCATTTTTTCACAGCCTTCTATTAGCACCTCTTAAGCTGGAGACCCAAATGGTTTTCCAGTTAATTCAGTCTTCCCAGCACATTTCTGTGTCTGCTAGATATCAATTTTGTCATTTATTGGCATCTGAATTACTGCTGTAATTCATTTTTTCTCAGTTAATGCCCTTTTTTTTCCTAAATAGCATTGTCAAATAATCCTTAGGAAAGTGTCTTAATGGGGCTTCACATCCACATCCAGATAAGACATCTTACATGGCAAAGACCTAATTTAAAAGGGATTTGCTCAGCATTCTTTTATTTAAGACATGCTGTTGGGACACCAGGATTTTTCCTCCTGCCTATGAAAGAGGCCCTGTTACCAGCAGATACTGTCACTGTAGCAGACTTTATCCAAGCACCAATGTGGGATACTCTGTGAGGAGCAGAATGTGGTTACCTGGTCAAAATCCACTACTGAATGGTCGGGTCCAGCTCTGCCATGATGTATGCCAGCTGGGAATCTGATCTGTAGCAATTTAACTTCCCACAGCCCTCTTGCTCAAACACCTGAGGGTCCCCAAGCACCCGCAGGGCTCCAGAAACACCAGGGTTGAGTGCTTCCCACTGTGACCATGAGAGGAGAGGTGCTGAACTGCAGAGCACGTGCTGAGCTGATCTTTGGTTTGTCTTTAGGGCAGGCAGCTGAGCGAACACTTCAACATTTACATCTTTTCCCTGAAGAAACGTGTCCAAGAGTGAACACCTGCACTGTGATTGGACTGTGACACTTCACATAAGATTTCCAGCTTTTTGATGTGATCAGTAGTGGAATGGATCTGATTAGAGCAACCAAAGAACAGAATAGCCCAGATACTCGAACTCCTTGACAACAATGCTTCATCTTAAAGGAAAATTCCTGGCCTGCAGAGGCGTTTACCAGGTTGTTCTGCTGCCAGTATTTACTCTCTTCACTAATGCCACGTCTCTACTGTGAAGCACTGGTCTTCCTCCTCCTTGCTCCTGTGCCCCAAGCCCTGGGTACTGCCATGCTGGGTCATGTAGGACCCACCATGTTTTGTAACTCTGCCTGCTCTGTCCACCAGTGGGACCCCACAGTGCAGACCCACCCAGTGCATCCTTCCCACTCAGACATCTGTGCCTGCTGCCGTTCCCATATCTGTTTCCTCACAACTCATTTCTTCCATGCAGCCTCCTGAAGGGCTTATGTACACCCAGGCTTTTCTTCACCTTATCTGAATGCGTGAAGAGAATGAGATCAGAAAGGTATGGGCACACCATATCTTCCTCCTCTCCAGCATTAGGGTGAGCCTCAGCTGACCCGCATCTGTCAAAAACATGGCTCCATACCCAAGGAACTTGCCTTTATGCTTCTGTTCTATGCAGAAACCAGTGCGCTCTTGGTACTGCAGTAGCAGCAAGCGGCGTGCCCTACAGAAGTAACCAGCTGAGGATAAATGTAGTCAGCAAAGATGCTCATATTTCACTGCCTGACGGGTGCTTGCTGATAGGCCGACTCAGCATGCAGCATTCAAAACAAGCAATGAAAAATGAGCCATGTTCCAAGCATTTTTAAGCCCCATCTCTCGGTGCAAAATGCTAAGCAAGTGATTATTTGCTTCTGTTCTTGATCCGAATTCTTGTGGTTTTACATGATGGAAAGAACAACAAACAAGGCAAGAATTAAGAAGAGTTTTTTTGCTTTTCAGCATCACCATTTGCATGCAGATGTAAACTGCACACTTCATCCATAATCCGCAGGGGTTTTCTGTGTGCCTTGGAGGAAGGTGCAGGAATCTGAGTTCCATTTCTTTGCCCTCACCAAAGGGCCCTGTGGCCTTGCAGCTCTAACCAAACTACCTGCCTGCTTGCCCCAAGGGGAGCACTTTATTACATCTCTTGCACAGACACGGGTGACTGAACAGCATGTGTGTCCAACAGGGAACTCTCAGCCACCAGAAGCAGGGCAGAAGTTAGCGAGTCGCTGAACATTAGATTCATCATAAGCTGCGCACTGGGGACGAGCCTGCGGTTGCCTTTCCCCCTTCACAAAGCAGGGGGGGAGGCTGATCATCAGCAAGTGAGGAGCAGCAGCTTCCAGCCTCCCTCCCTGCTACAGGCTGACCCATTCCTGCCCTGGGAGCATGAGGCTCCACAGAACTGCTCCCCAGGTGCCCGAGGTCTCTCAGAGCCAAGCTGATGGCTGCTTAATGAAGGATGCTGCTAACAGTCCCCTGCATGCTTTGTTTGAAAGGGAACTACGAGCCTGAGGCAGGTGTGCACCCAGCGATCTCATTGATTCAGATTTGAGATTCATCATTGTATAAGTCTCACCTATTTCAATATTTTTAACACATCCATCAGAAATGTCTGGAGGAAGACCTGACAAGAAAAGAACGTGAATACAGAACCCAAAATTATGCCTGGGCTGAAAGTGATAGGACTAGAGAACTCTGTGGACAGGTTTTCATTTTCCTTCTATCTTGCACTTAAATTGTAAAATAACTGGAAATAATGGTCACAGAATTGACACAATTCAATGCACTGGAGTATTTTGAAATATTACATTGATGAAATTATAAAACTTGAACTGTCACAGCTGCCTGCACTTGTCTCATTCTGAAATATAACATCAATTTAAAAGGAAATTGAGCGCTTTTTTCCTTTTTAAAGTAATTTGTCACTACAGTCTATGTGAAGTATAAGCAGAGATAATGCAATGCACAGTGTACATATTGAATTGTTAACCGTCAGAGATGGTAACCAGTACAAGGAGAATAAAAATGCTCTGTTCATACAGCAGTATGGTCCCAGATTTATTTCTGCCATGTCAGGTAATGGCATGAGGATGACCAGAGTCTAGTTGAAGAACAATGCAATCGTCTAAAAGTTTTCAGCTATTTGAACTGGAAAACACATTACCTCCTTTTTGTGCTGTTGCACATTGGAACCGGCCCAAAGACACACATATCCCCAGTGGGCTATGAAAGGTGATTTCACTGGCTCTGCTCCACAGGCTGGAGTGCCGAGCTCCCCTCTGCCAGAATCCTCCCAAAGTGGGGCTGGGCAGAGGATCAGCCCCAGCCTGGTTGTATCTGGAGGGCTCAGTCTGACCCTATGGTGGTGGCACACACCCAGGTGGCTTCAACCCACTGCACAGAGATGTGCGCCCCCAGCTCACACCCCTGCAAGTCAGCAGAACCCACTGCAGCACCACTGCATGCGCTGCCAAAGCTCAGTCCTGAGAACTGCAATAAAGTTTTCCCCTCTTCTTCACAAGTGGTCTTGCAACCTTAACAAGGCGTCTTTTAGGTATGGTGCAGCAGATTCGTCCCTGAATACTTGACGTGCACGGGGTGCTTCAGTGCCTTTGCTGTACAGAATTATTGCCTTCCACAGAATCATGGAGGCTGGACAAATCCTCTAAGACCACCTGGATTAACCACCAGCCCACCCCCACCATGCCCACTAACCACGTCCCTCAGTGCCACATCCACGTGGTTCATGAACACCTCCAGGGATGGTGACTGCACCACCTCCCTGGGGAGCCTGAACCACTGCCTCACTGCTCTGAGAATAAATTCCTCCAGATATCCAACCAGAACGTCCTCTAGCACAACTTAAGGCCATCACCTCTCATCCTATCACTAGTTACCCCCACCTCTCCTTTAAGGTCATTGCAGAGATCAGTAAGGTCTCCCCTGAGCCTCCTCTTCTACAGACTGCACAATCCCAGCTCCCTCCCATCAGACTTGTGCTCCAGATCCATCACAGCTTCGCTGCCCTTCTCTGGACACACTCCAGGGCCTCGATGTCTTTCTTGTAGTGAGAGGCCCAAAACTGAACACAGTTCTCATGGTGCAGCCTCACCAGTACCCCACTCTTGCATCCCTCAAGTTTTGCTTTTGCTGCATTAAAACAAAGTAATGTTACATGAGATTAAATACGCAAAAGTTGGAAATCTGGCATAAAAAAGAGCGCTGTTTTACATGTACATAGGTATACACATGTATGTGCATGCATAGATACTATTTGCACACACAGAATAAGTGAAGTTAATTTTTTAAAGCAGCTCTTTTCCCTCCTGCCCCCATGTGCAGTCAGTCATGAAGCAAGTAAATGTTTTGAAAAAGAGAAAAGGATTATTTTAGCCTCTAGAACTGGACAGATTTTAACATATATTTTTTTTATTAAATATGTAAAAAGATAAACGCAAGTCAAGTTATTCACATATTCAGACAAAAATCTACTCTACCATGCGACAGTTTGTGGATAATGTGAAACGCCCGATACATCTGAATAAGACTTTTTAAATCTATTATGCCATTACTTATCTATTTATAATTAACAATACATATGTTTACATTCCTTTCAGTTTACATTTAATATATAACCGAAGCTTTACGGTGTGCTATTTAGTAAAGGTCATTACAGACGCCTATTAAAACCATAACAGATTGATGGGTTACTCACGGCGTGGCAGGAGGAAGACTCTCTCCTGCTCAGAGCACGGCTCTCCACTCAGCACAGTGGCTTCCAGCGCCAAGCAGGCACAGCCCTGCCACGGCTGCCTGCCTCCCTCACTTCCCCAGTCACGGCAGTGGGAGCCCCGTGCTCCTCAGGCCCAAAAAAGCAGAGATGGAACCCGCCTGACACAAACCTCGGCTTGCTGTCGCCGTTGTTCTCTATATGTGCCCCAAAGAGAGAGAAGTCAGCAGCCTGGATGTGAGACGCCAGGAGCTCAGCCCCCAACTGCCTTGGGTTGGGTACCTTCAGAAGGAAGTCTTGGAGCGCTCCCCGTGCCCCTGCTCTACCGCTAGCAGGATGAACCACCAGTGGCCATCAGAGACCAGGGCTGGCAAAACCAAATTGATGCCTGGTCCCAAACTGTGTGCCCCCCATCCAAAATCCCCTCCGGGTTAAAGGACAACCGCTCCTCAGTTCAACAGCGTTATGAAGAACTACTGTTTATTACAATGACAATTGTAATAAGTACATATGTTCTAATAAACACAAATACAATGAAAATGACAATTCCCCCATCTGTGGTGATTCCCGGAAATAATTCCTTTGGAAAATATGCATTTTTATACACCAGATCTTACTTGTACCCAATCAAAATCAGGAAGGGAAGCACTGCCCTGTTGTTGGTTGCAGCACTTTTGGTGTCACCGGGCTGGTGCTGGAGGCACAGCCAGGAAACCCTCAATCCGGATGGTCCAAAACTCTCCTGCGGGGCAGGGGGAGTGATCAAGGGAACTGAAATACCTGTTCTAATGTCTAGCAGTATTCTATATATTGCCTGCGGCGCAGCACAACAGCAGCGTTGTCACATTTCACTCAGAGCCACTTAGCTGCAAAAGATTTCTTGGGAATAGAAAGCCGCATGCGAGTGTGTGTGTGTGTGTGTGTGTGTGTGTGTGTGTGTGTGTGTGTTGGGGGGCTGATTCATTAAAACCCTTTCTGTGGAAGCATCAGCTGGGAACCTGAGCTTGAGGTTAGGTTAGCTTTAGACCTAAGGTGATTCTGCTGTTCTATGGGCTTTTGAACTTTTCAATGACTGCAGACTGAGCTGGGACTCCCAAGTACCTGCTTAACTAGAGGAAAATTTGGAATTCAGAAAATTGAGAGGCCAAGAATACCAAGCATAAAATACTCAGAGCAACCAGAATGCACAGTTCCACAATAAAAACAAGGAATGCTTTGTACACTTCAAGATATTTCTGTTGATAAAATACCATCCTTTAGAACAGGGTAGCAGAGACCGTTCTGGAAGGGAGCACTCTCACCACAGGCACCTCCAGGTTTGATGCATTTGTGCAGCATGCTGGCTTCACTGGAGGACTCAGCCAAGTGCGGTGCCCCTGGCCAGTTGGATGGGCACACCACCTCAAGGAGGACTCCTTGACTCCTCTTCGTGCTTCAGAAGCAGCCTCGGCACCCACAAGGTGCTCATCACCACTTCTAGGGGGCTGGGAGGTTTTCAGGGCTGGTTCTGTGGTTGGTTTCCTCATCCATGCTTGTGTCGGGGCAGCAGAGCAGAAGGAAACAGTTGCCCTACTTTGTCCTCTTCTGAGGGTGCGGAGCCAAGTGTGATGGCAGAGATGGTGTCCTGCAGCTACACTTGTGTCAAGGAGATTTCTGCACCTCCATCAGCACTGTGCCCTGTGGAGGCGGAGCTGCAGCTGCAGGCTGGGACAGAGTTCATCAGGAAGGAAGAAAAGCTAGGAAATGTCTATTGACTAGTCAAGAAACTGGGAGGGTTTTGAAGAACTTAAGTGGATGTCTGTCCTCCAGAATTAAGCCAAAAAACATACCATGCAGCTTTCTAACACAAGGTTTTAAGTCTCTCCTAGTGAAACAGATGCCTTGCCTCCCATTTGGTAAAGGCAGGAAAGGAACAAACGTGAGCAACACGAGCATTTTCCTCCACAACACATCTCATCGTTATGGCTTGAACATGACTTCCACTGTATCCCTTTATTCCAATTGTTTGACCAAATTTATGCCTCAGGGCAGACGTACAAGAAAATGCCAAAGCACCACAAAAGTGAGAGACACAGCTAGTGGTACGGTACTTCTTGCCACACAAAATGCCAATATAAATATGTTAGAACAAGTTACAAGTGTATCATACTTAAGACAAAAAGAAAAAAAAATAAATATATATATTTTCTTAAAGAGCAGAACAAATCTCAAGCAGCCAAGTGGTAAAGTTGCAGTGATGTACAGTAGGTGATGTAGCCCTACAGCCTCTCGGGAGGATACACTGAAAGAAGACTTCTGCAAACGCATCTTGGCAAAGTATGGGTACAGAATGCAGTGGTTGGCTGGCACTCACTATGGTACATAAATGTTAATGGCAGACTGGGAGTGAACTGATTTCAAGTTTGAGGCCACACATGTTCCATTCTCCAGAAGAAAGTTCTCACACAAAATGAAAATTGTCAGAGATGCTGCGTGAATCAGTACTCCTCCTGCTGCTGGGGCTGTTCGTGGACCTGCTCTTCGCCTTCATGCTCCTCTGTGTGGCTCTCCTGTGGGCAGAAAAACACCCCAAAACATCCTTCAGCAGAAGCATGTCATCATCTCATCCCCTCTGAGTTCAACTAGCCTCAAGCTCAACTTTTAATTTTCCTTCCAATGAGCAGACAGCAGTAGCTGACAATTGTAAGGTTGCCCCCAGTTTGCTTCAATACCCTTGAACTGGTTCCATCTCATCTCCCCGCCTGCACCCAGCTTTTCTATTTGTCCTTTCACAAGGCTGTATCTGTACAATTGCATAAAAGCAAATGACACGCTTGATATATTAACATTAAATTAAATTAAGACACAAAGCTGACATAAATGCTAACTCCCAGGTAACATAAAGCTGAGCCATGGAACAAATGAAACTTTCCATAGCTCTTTTGCACTATTTTCTATTTAATTGGTCTTAAATACCTTCTGTTTGCTGAAATCTGTTGCTGCAGCCTATGGAGTGTGAGTAGTGGCACAAAACTCAAGTGGAGTTGAAAAAAAAAGTTGACGGAGTAATCAGGTAAGTCCATGTTGGCTTGTTTTCTTGACTTTCATTGTTTCTCTAGCACTTAAGGTGCTGCACATCGACATAAAGACAGACAGAACTGTTGCCTCAGAAATACAGCGTCTCATGATATTACAATAAAATGCATTTACTTTGTTTTTAACCAGCGTGCGTGCAGCACTGAGAGATCCCCAGAAAAACGTCAGTTCTCAGCACTATGGTGTTATCTGCTCCAGCAAGGCAACACCATAAATAAGTGGGTCACGAGGGGCTCCATGTATCATAGCTTCCCAGTGTCCTCCCTTTTTGTCTCCCCAAGGATTTCTGAACCTGCCTGCTACAGTTCTCACACAATCTTCACTCCAGGCTCTTATCACAAAAACAGACAAGACACTTCTGCTATCGTTTGCTTTATAAATTAAATCCAGCCTCATTTTCTAGATCAAACATCACTTTCCCAAAGCGATATGTCTATGTCAGTACAGACCAGAGTCCAAAGGCTACTGAAAACATAATTTTTAATATTATGCAGAAAATATAGCCAAAGATTTGCTTATTCTCAATGCATTTTCTTTGAAAGAAATCTCAGTCCAGCATTCATTGACTTCCAGAAGCTACTGCTATAGGCAGGCGATGTTTGACCAACAGCTCCCTCTTGCAAATGACTATTATACCTACTATCTTCTAGAGCTGTGCCGCTCAATCCCTGATCTGAGAGACTAAGAGCAATGCTGAATCTCCACTGCTGAGGATGCAGGTTTTACACAAATTCCAATTTACAGCCAGACCTGTTATCTTGAGTTGACCTAGATGTTCCAGCACTCAGAAAGGCAGGCTGCTGCTTACAGCACTGCCTCTGCACTCCCCTAATGCTTCTCCCGGGTGGATTTTCATCTTTCCACAGCGCCGTTCACTGAGCAGATCTGACACATCTACTCCCTGTCTTGCACTGGCAGAGCTCAGCTGAAGACAGTTTCTAAGGACAGTGCTGTTCCAGAACCCTGAGCTGCCATTCAAAATGCACCACAGCCAACACGATACCTCTGCAGAACTTGCCCGGCGCTTCTCATTAGAAGCAAGAGGTTTGGACAACAGATTGTAAGAGATTGATATTGTTAAGGTCTACAAACTGAGGCCAAAACTGAAAGGAAAGAGAGGCCCCGTGTGAATCTTCCCAGAACAGTTCAAAGTAGCTTATGCAACAAGAAAGTACTTCCCTTCTGGCAGCAAAATATGTCTGTTTTTAAAAGAACAGGTGAATAAGGTCTCCAACATTTGCTGATAGAAATGCAGAAAAAAATTGAAATATTCACCTGTTTACTACATGCAGAAACAGACACATTTCAATCGGAAGCGAGCTTTCTACCACTCAGGTGCTATTTTGAGGTAGATGTCCAACAGATGCTAGATATGTTAGATGGTAGATGTTGATCAGTACAATTGCACTTTAGTGTCTTACGGCCCTCTGGGGGGAACAACACCCTTATTACATGTGGTACCTCAAGTCAGAATGTCTTCATGCATAGCATCTAAGAACCACATCCTCTCCAATGGGTTGGAAGAGTGCAAGGCTTCTGGAGCACAGGAGCTTTGTGGGCAGAAGCTGACAGCTGTGGGAACATGATCCTGCATTACAGGGTAAGAAAGCTGAGGCCTGGTTAACCCTAAAGCTATGGGCTGCTCTGTTACGTATCTCTTCAATAGGCTCCACATACACAGCTCTTATGAGATACCAAATAGAAAGCATATTCAGGCAGGTGTTACAGGTCATCTGTGTGCTCTCCTTCCATGCAGAACTGGCACAGTCACTAGCCATAGGAAACGGCTTGGGAACGTAGTCCACAGCTCTGAAGGAGAGCGGTGGCTCCTCTCTTTCCAGGGTTACCTTTGATGGAAATGGTAAATCTTACGTGATCACCACAGAAGTTCTGAGAATTGGACACGTGCTTTTCAGTATGCACAGCTTGTATAAATACATGAAATGGGAAAGACAAGAGTCACTACGCACAATTACCTTGGGACTGTGGAATCTCCTTGAATAGCATCCCCTAATAAGGAAAGCAGTGGAAGGTCTATTTAGAGCATTTATTTCTGACTCAGATCACAAGGCCATGGCCATCTCTGCCTCCTGTTACAAAAGATGCTTGCTTTTGACCTCTCAGTTCATGTGCCTTGAACTCTTCAGGTGTGCCCTCAGATGGAGGAGCTGCTGTCGATGAAAACCAGCTGCTACGGGGGTGAGTGCCTTGCCCCAAAGCAGCAATAGCAGACGTACAGCCTGCTGGAGCAGAAAGTCACAAAACCAATGGAATTTTAAGCTACTGGTATGAAAATGTGAGCTGTGCAACAGACAGACCAAAGAGCAACAACCCACCCAGCTTCTGCATGAACTGAGCCACAACAGCCTATCAAGGAAAGCAAACGCAGCAGTGCGTTCACTTTACACCAAGGCCTATATGGTCTGGCTTTCATAATGACACACAAAGCCTCTCCCAGCTCTTCAGACAGAAGCTGTAAAACCAGACTACCAAATGCTCCACGTACTATCCAAGACCTCCATCTTGTATACAAGTAGTCACAGCACAAATGCTAGAGGCCACTTCCCGCAATATCCAAACCTATCCTTTTCAAACACTATTCTTGGTCTATTTTGATTTTTTAAAAAGAATTTTCTTTTTAAACAAAGAAGCAGAAAGACTACAAATCAGCAATCTGTATTTGAAAATTACAGAAGATTACAGACTGATTGGCCAGACCAATGTAAGCGATACTAGCAGTCTCAACATCTCTCACAAGCAAAGATGGACAATGAAGTTAGAACAGAAGCATACCAGGGAGAAGAGGAAGAATCTTTCAAAGACGAGGAGCCCACGTGGATTGATAATTGTGCTGTAAAACTCAAAACCCCACACAAATAAAGGGGGAAAAGAGTCTTAAAAGCTTAGTCTTTATTGCGTTAAATAAAAGATTACAAAGACACCTACTTGAAACTATGCAGGGATTTGGAATACCTAAAAAAGTAATGAAAAAAATGTAAGATGAACCTGATAAAAATCCTTTCAGTGCAAAACTACAATAATTAAACTTGTGGAGAATGCTTTTTGTAGGAACTAAACTTTTTATTGCACTCTGAGTTCATCTATAAGGAATTCAGCCTACAATTCCCAGGAGGGATCTGTGAGCTACTGGGAGACCTGAGCACTTTAAGTGCTGTCCCAGCATCTTTTATCTTTTATGAGGATTAAAATAACCATAACACAAAATACAGAGAGACTTTTCCCTTCAGAATAAGAGCAGTTGGTGTAAAAAACAGGACACGATCACTATAAATACAATAAACGTCTGTCAAATTACAGCTAGGAAGGAACAGTTTGAGATTACTATCAAATGCTTATTGGAGCTACGAACTCAAAGTTAGCCATGAAATTCAAGCACAAGGCTCTGGTCAGGTCTGATTTGTGTAGTGTGTGTGAGCTGCGTTACCTCACATCCCCTTCCTAAAAGAAAAACATGATGGACACTGCAGCATTTATAACTGTCAGTGATCCTGGAAAAAAAGCAACAATCCAAGCTGGATCTACATGAATTTATTAGCAAGAAATCAAATGTCTCTGTGTTGGGAATTGGGGCTATTTCCCATCTGGGGCTTGGGAAATCCAAACTGCTGTTACCAAGGGATTAACTCTCAAAATGCTGTGAGAGAATTTAAACTGGAACAACTTCATTACACAGAAAGAAAAAAAAAAAGAACTGATAGGCAAAGCAGGCTGGTGAGACATAGCAGAGCACAAGAGCAAGAAGTGCGCATCAGCAAGAAAACAAAATCTTTGGTTCTCAGTGCTAAAGCACGAGGGTGCATTACAGTCCACCTACAATAGTAAGGAGGAGAAATGTACCCCAGAAGAAAAGAAGATGAATCCTCCCACTGAAAGGCAGAAAAAATTGAGTGGGGAATGGCCTCTGCATTCTTCCCTGGGAGATGAGGACTTCTGGAATGACATCCACGGTCTCCAAGTGGATATGCATTCTAGATATAAGCACAGCTGCTACGTGTAGCTCATGTGCAAGCACTGATGGTGCTTTCAACAGAGAAAGGGTTGGAGGGAGGAAGCAGATAAAGCACCGAGATGTGGGCTGAAGTAGGACATTTTGTAATGTGTTCTGCCAGTAGGGAAAACTGCAGTGAGAAAAGTAACAAATGCATTTCTTGGCTGGGAATCGCTTCTTATTTAAGCCAACTAAGACAGATGTGGCAGGGGTATGGGGAGAGGAGGGACTTTTCTGGCTTTGCTTTATAAATAAATCACTGTTCCTGAATCCAGAAGACATTTTCTCTGACCACTGTATGTGAGTAATTCTTTCAGCCTGTTATCACGAGCCTGGCAAATGTGTCCGATTGTTTACTTCTGTGAAAATAATGCTTTCCTCCTCCTTTGCCTCTCCATCACTTGTCCCACACCACTGAACAAATCCTCTTTCCCCTGTCACCTCTAATCTGAGCGGCGGCCCCTTGGGTGGCAGCCTTGTGACCCTCTTGCACCCAGCATTCACTAGTTCTCTATTAGTCTGTTTTAGAAAAGCATACGAGTTAGCAGCAGCTTCAGCACTACTTCTGATATAAAATTTTGAGTCGGCTGAATGCAGCAGCTTTCTGGGAACAGATGTAAGAAAGACTACAGTGCCACAGGGCTGGAGAGAGATTAGGCTGATGCTTATGTGCTCTGGAGCCACAGCTACTGTTCACAGGAGACTGGAGAGGTCAATCGTCAGAGCAGCACATACAGGGATTTGGTTAGCATGAATGGGAGCAGTTCAGCTAAATCTCCATCGAATCATTATCCCTCAGTGTATCTGAGGAATTTAACCAGTATCCTTTACAGCTCCTTGCTTTGTTCAGTGTCTACAGTGTTATGCCTAAAATGCAGTCAGATTCTTGTTTAATCTTGTAGACAATACATTTCTGCAGTTTTGGTAATAGGGGATTACTGCGTTTGCATCCTGAAGAATTTTGCCTATAGCAACAGGATAAAAAATGCTAAGGAGCATTACCTCTGCGGATATAATTATGCACTTGGCAACCTGCACGGTGCCTACTGCAACAGTGCCACATGGGAGAGAGAAAGTTCACAGCCATACACAGCAATCAGCACTTCTATGAGAATTTCTCTGCTTTTCAGTCTTCAACATCTTAAAGAACACTGAGTGAAAGACTTCATGCAGAAAGGTAGGACCGAAACAGAACTAAGGCTCAGGACCACATGAAATCAATTTACAATTGTGACATACACACTCCCCTTCCAGATCAACTTGTGCTAAAACAGAATACAAAACCTATGCCAAAGCAGCAAAAAGCAAGCTGGCCTCCTGAATCTATCCCCAAGCTGAAAAGTCTGTTGTTTGTAAACACAAGCTTCCTTTTGGGGGAGGATGCATAGAAAGCCTTGCTCTTACAGCTCTGCTGACCTACATATTGAATATCACTCAACACTGTGCCAATATTTTTTAATGGAATGAGGCTGTCTTATCTCAATAAAATACACGTTAAATTTGAACTTACGTGTTCTTCTGAAGCATAGAGGACTTCCATTAGCCGATGGACAAGGTCATTATTCTCTCCCCCGTGTTCTTGGCAGAGAAGTTCAATCTCCCTTAATTTGCCAAAGTAGAAATCCCTTTCCTTCTCCACTCCTTCAAGTGCAAGTTTTAATGAATGTACCTGCACATAAACCAGTATGTGATGCATCAGTTGTGAGGCATGCTGCAGACAAAACAACTCAGCCTAAAAGTACACAATTGCACATGCTGACCATCACCTTAAATATATATTTGATTTTATAGCTTAAAGTGAATTCCACTGTTTTTGAAGTGCAACACAACAAAGAATAAACAGCTAATCAGGACACTGTGTCACACCTCCTGGATACATCTTAACCTTGGATCCTTAGAGGTCAGTTTTCTCAGCGCTCTTGCAAATTGAAACCTGAAGTGGCAGCTCAGGAGTCAGCACTACTTAAAGCACTGCTTCTAGCAAAGCTGCCAGAGACATCATGTAGTGGTAATTAATGAAACATTCAGCACTGGAATTCCATTACTCTGCCTGGATTAATAGAAAACCTACCATATCTCCTTCCCTGAAAACACACAGGTCCAGCAGAAAAGCTCACAAAGGGAAATGGACTAGTTGAGAAGTAAACGGTCTTTCAGCTGCAAGTACTGCCATGTTGTTTTCTCACCTCTTTGCTGCCTCCTGACCTGCTGAACCACCACAAAATCTGCATCTCAGAACCCCGAGGCTGCTGGGGTGACCAGGCTGCACCATGGATTTTCTGGTCTTATCCATGTGCTGTCACTATCAACAAATTCTCTTAAATGTCAGTCTTTCCTTGTACACAAGAGTCTTTGGATTACGCCGTTGGTTTTTATTTCACTGCTAAGTCTGCTGCAAATAATTTATGGGTAACCCAGCTATTAAGGATTAGGCTTCATATAAACCAAGACAGATGTCACAATATATTTTTATACATACATATATGTACACACAGACATATATATATATATATTAAAAAGAATAATTTTGTGGCAGCAAAGCATGAATTACTATCCAAAGTGGTACAGACGATCAGTGTAACATGTGCAAGTGGCTCTCAAATTTGGAAGACAGCATAGTGTCAACCAATGGAAATAATCAGGGATGAAGCTGCCTACAGTAAACACTCTGACCCCAATCATGTCCAAATTACAGCCAAATTAACATCCAGATTTTTAGCCCTGCAATTACACAAATGAGTTTTCTAAAGGAAGTATGCTACATAAATTAACTTGCATCAAGATGACATTTGAGTGAACAGATACAGTTTAATAGAAAGTTTCCTGCTGCCAGATCCACTGCAAGCTGATTGATTCCCTTTGCCGGTAAGAACACCAAGGGAGCTCACACACTGCTTTGACAGCCCTCTAAATCCTAGCAGTTCATCTTTCCATAACTGCTGAGCTGGCAATGCCTTCTTCTGACCTCTGACTGCACTCCCAGAGGTGTCAGACAGCAGAACAGACCTGCTGCCAGGGCACGATCTCGGAGCATCTCATCCACATACGAATCCATCTCTCAGCAGCCACCTGAGCTTGACACCAAACTCTTCCCTTGGTAGTTTGAATCTATCAGTGATACAGTGACTGGTCACTTTAAAATTAACCATTTAGTCACGGGTAAGTATAGATAGCAAAACAGATCAAAAGTTTACAACAATTTGGTCTATGGATGCGTATCCTACTTAAACGTGGGGTCTTCCTCACATTTAAGATGTCTTGTGGATCTGCAGCAATGTAGCAGTGCATTCCTTGAGAGCAGAACAAGAACCTAACTACTGCCAGATCTCCTGCTCTGTGCTGCAAAACCACCAGCCTCTGCTGAAATATCTGCAGCTAACAACACAGGCAGCTTCACCTTCTAAGCTATTTACCATGAAGGCAGTTTCCTGTCTTCATTGCACCACGTACACACCATTTTGAGAAACAGAATCATTAAGGCATAAAAAATACGCACACAGCAAATTATCTGCAACATTCAGTGAATGTTGTTATAACCAAAGCAAATACACTTTCCTTCACTTGCATATCATCTACATGTCTGTGATGCATTACTTTGCACTCCTTCAGACAATTAGCACATCTGCATGCTAGTGTTTCCTTGTATTAAGATGCCAAGAGGCTTATCCTGTAGGAGGAACAGCAGATGTTCACTCCCACGTGCGGCGTCCGGACCAGAAGTACCCCTGCAATCCAGTTAATGTGTGCAAAGCAGTGGCTCTTACTAACTGCTCTTTCCTCTGGTGGTATGAACGCTCGTAGGGCTGCATATCCAGGCTGAAGATTAAGCACCTGCTGTGAACACGCAGCCAAGACAGTGCTGTCTTCAGATATTATGTCTATGCTAGTATCCAGTTAACTGTTCTGGGACCACTCTCCATATGTAAAGGTCCCTTTTCCGCACATAATGTAATGTTCCTGGTCTGTGTTTTCTCCTCAGCTGCACTCAGAAACCCTTTGGGAGAGTGCTAGTTGGCGCAGACCTAAAGCACAGCAGGGACCATTTAGCATTTTAATGCTACAGATAATCAAACTCCAGTGCACGGTGACATGCCTTGAAAGTGTTTAATTTACTGGCACAGGCCAAGGCAATAGCTATGGCCATTTTAAGAGAGACTTTAAGATTGTTGAGAGCCATTAAACCAGCAAATGTTATGCATGGCTTACAATCATTGCAAATAGATCATCAAGTAATCCTATGGTAAAATATAGCTTATGGACGTTTGTACTTAAACTTTTCCACTGTAAGTTGCACAGAAGTTTAATGTCAGAATCTCCCTCAGCTGCCATTTGTGAAAGGGCTGAAATTAAGTCTGTTAACAGCCAGACAAGGCTGTGATAACTGCAGATGCCATTCAACAATGTTTTCTATCAAGACAGCAAAGTACAATTGGCTCCCGCCCATACCTCGCCTGGTTGCTGGAGAGTGGGGGAAAAATGGGCAATTTGGCTCTTCCAACATGTTCACACTGGGATAAGAAAAGCCTGGCTCAAAGTGGCTTGCAGCAGAGCTTTTTTGGCTCATGTTATTTGCCTGGGGTGCATAAGTAATCATTAGTGGCAAATGAGATACCAAGTACTGCCAGCATTAAGAAAAAAGAAAGAAAGAAAAAAAAAAAAAAAAAGGCTCCCAGATGATTCTAGCTAGAAAAAGTCTCTCAAAAATGAGCTTGTAAAACACCAACTTTCAAAATCTTTAGGATTTATTTTTTGTGTTGGAGGAAATCATTAATTTTCCTCAGGGGTGTATGTATATAAAGCTGAAGGTTTTCACAGGTGGAAGCTGCTAGGAATACATTAGCAGAGGATGTGATAGTGACTGCCTGTTTGCATCTTAGTAAAGATCAAATATTTTTATCTTGCTCATATCCAAAGTGTCTCTTCCTGCTGAAGTGAACACCTTCTGACTTCTACATACAAATGTCACAGTTTAAGCCACACTTAAACGATGTTTGAACTCTGCTTAAAATGACATAACAAAAGGTTCCGATTCTATCAGAAGTGTACACATTCATTATTTGTGCAACATTTAAGAACATTTCTGCTACAGCAACGAGCCTGGAAGGCTGGTGAGCTCTGCTGTGCTTGCTGCTGCTCAGAATTACACACAATCTGCAGTACGTCGTGTTCGGTATGTGGCTGTCCATCACCACCTCTGGCACATAAGAGTAACAAGGAATTTGCAGTCGGTGCCCAAACAAACCAGGGTCTCTGTTGTCGAGGTCAATGGAAGTCTGAAACTGAAATGACCTTAATTGTGGAAAATTATACTTAATCCAGAATAATGACTTTCAGTATGCAGCTGCCAGGCAGCTCTTGCTGTAAAATATGAGACTTTTCCTTTCTGTATTCCCCTGACAAATACAGCAGTCAAGTCTCATTTATACAAGTGGCCTTGACATCATTAACAGCATGGTCTTGAGCCAGACGCAGGTATTTATTGAAATTCTGGCATTTTATTATGTTGCAGAACACTATATACTCAGCATTTTCATAAAGGTAGGCCCATTTTTAAACGAGAAAGGCACATTTCCTCCCAAATGTTTTCATTCCAGAAAGCAGAGTGCAATGAGCTAGTCTTGGTTCAGCTGCAATTCTCTAACCCTGCTAATATAAACAGGCTTGTTTTCTGCACAACACATTAAAATGATTTATTTCAAATCTGTAATACGGAAGAACAAAGACATTGTTGGGCTTTTTCCCATCCAACTGAAATAAAAGATGCATTTCAAAACCTAATTAATAAAACCATCTGTAATAAAACTCTCATACTTCAGTAAGACTCACCTGGCATTCCTAAGACTCCCTTTCAAATGTACTGGCACAATACCAGCCATCTCTGGTAAATGCTATTTTTAACAATAAATCTCTTTTTCTTCCCAGCTGGGCTATTTAAATCTTTTCTACCTTCATAATTCTGGAGGATATCATTCAGCAGAGGGCAATACCAGATTTCATGCCTGTCTGTGACAATGAATGCATCTAATTTTACGCCTCAAGTAAATTTACCTGTTCACTGAGCTGTATGACTTGAGTTTCCAAATCTTTATCTGATTTGGATGCTGAGCTGCTCGGTGCAGCCTTTTTTGCTGAAGATGGGCGAGAAGGTGTTGATCCCGGTTTAGAAGCTGGACTGGATTTAGCAGCACCTAAAAAATACAATCAATAAATTGCAAAATCAAATATTTTTCCCAGGATAAATATGTTGCTATTAGCCTGATGCTGAAATACATGTATCTCACTTGCAGGCAGCCATTCACACCATTACTTCAGTGGAAAAGGTTCCAGCTTTCTACCACGGAAAAGGAAAACAAATTTCCATCAGTTTTACTTTGACCTTATTACTGAGAGGGAAGTAACTCAAACTAAAACACATGAAAATCAGCCTAGGAGTATCAAGTCCCCTTAGCTGTCTGCAACTTTCAGCTTTTAAAACAGAGCTGTTAAGAGACAATTCCCTTGGCCCAATGTTTGGTGTACCTGTCTAACTTCAGCCCCCTAGAAAAAGATGGACTTGGAATAAAGTCAGCTAAACCATCCCCACACTTTCCTTGTTGTCTCTATAAACCATCCCTACGATGAGGGCATGGAGATTCAAACAGTGTGAGCAGAACTAAATCCATCAGTGAACTCACGGTTGCCATGGTGACTGAGCGATCCCTTTTGATCTGCTTAGGCTTCTCTATTTGTTTCTAATGACACACACAGCTGAATTTGACAGAGCACAGAGCAATGTCTCCACCAGGAAAAGCAGCAGCTAATGTCACACAGGCCGCCCTTCTCCACAAAGAAACCTTGCAGCCTCCTCACACCCCTCAGCAGGTCCCTCAGGCCTTGCTCTGCCAGAGCTGGTCCTTCCTGGTTAGCCTGCAGCCTCGCACTTTGTCCCAGGGTCAGCAGCACTTTGCTCCCCTAGCAGCATTCTCCTCAATTCAGCCTGCTGGAAATGGGTTTCAGATGGAATCAGCACTTTCCTTGCTTGTGCTAGGAACACAGAGAAAAGCCCTGGCCCTCTCTCTAACCTCTTTTATTTGATTCACTAAGCAGGTATGTGTCACGAGTCTTGCTTTGCAGCACCCATACTTACTGTTGGCTCTTCTGAAGAGCCAAGCACAGTCGTATGCTTATGGGCTCTATAGCCCTCCTTTACCACCAGCTGTTCTTGGCTCTGAATTCTGGGACATATAAAGCCCAAAGGCCAGCTAAGCTCTGCGGTTCAGAGTTCTTACCGTATTCCACGCATGCAGGAAGCAGTTCAGCTGAGAACTGAATGCTAAAAACAAGGTGTGGCCATTCAGATGTGAAACCTTAGCTGGGCAATGCAGCTTTCCTCTGCTCACTGACATTCTTGCACACTAAGGCAGTGCTGGACTTCCTCACTAGGTGCCTGCACACGACGAGAAGACAGGCTTTTCCCCTCAGAGGCCACGGCACATGACCCAAGCAAGGCAGGCTGTGCAGCCCCTATACAGTGCTCCCTCTCATGTCCAACAGCTCTGTGAAGAGAGCCAGTTCTGTGTAGACTGAGGCAGGGATCACAAAAAGCTGAACAGTTAAGGACACATATCTTTTTCACCTGCAGAGAGATATAAGAACAGAGCAAGAGCTAACACTGAACGGCCAGATTTTCTCTCCAATTTGCAGCTGAGCCATCCCCACAACGCACGCTGAGCAAGCTCACATCACTGCTATCTGCAAGCTGGACAGTACCAAATACATTGCATTGTGTTCTGCTCTTTGAAAGGTACAAAGCCTTCTGGATTTCTGCAGCAAAGTGATACTAAGCTTTATAAAGTCCCGACAAATCAAAGGAAATGGACTTTTCTCCCCTCACGATCAGCTCTGAAATGAACACATATTCCAATTTCAGTAACACAGTTAAAAGCCAGCTAAATAATCTGAGCCTTTCAGACGGTATTGGTGACAGCTGGATAGAACTTAATTGCAACAGAGAATGCCCAGGGTTTTCTAATTAAAAGTTTCCTGGAGAAGAAAAGGAAAAAAAAAAAAATCTTTAATGCACATTTATCTAACATATCAATTTTGGAATCAGCTCAGAGGTAAGCTTCCCATTTCTAACAGAAGCTTAATTTCATGAAGGAATTAAAAGATGTTGGTTGATAAGAATTGTGCAAAGTGCTTGAGACAGTCAGACACCTTAATGGAGATGAAAGATTTTAATAGACATTAATAATTTTGCTATTGAGCACTGTGATGCCCCTGCAGTCAATTAGTGCAAGTGTGGAATAACTCCTAATTTATTGCTCAGAGGAGCTAGACAACTCAAGCAGTTTCAATTCCATCTAAAATCACATCTTCCATGAAAATATTTATTGCCCATCTGAAAAGAAAACTTATGCTGGTAGTGATCATGTATTCATTAAGACTTCTCAGGCATCCCACATTGCCAACATCACAAAAAACAGGGTGGTTGTTGGTTTTTGTTTTTTGTTTTTTGCTTGGACAGCATTCTATGAAGTCCTATTTCCATTTTCTGAGAAAGCACAATATCTCTCAGAAATATTTTACATACAAAATGTATTCTTATCAGCTTTTTTTCATGGAACATTGAGAAAACTGCATTGCAATCAGTGTCACAGATGTTACCTATTACTGATTCCTTACCATGCTTACTGCCGATGTTCAAAGAACAGTGCAGAATCCTGCGCCACACAGGAAAAAACCCTATCCCCAATATATGTTGGGGGCCAAATGTCTGGAAAGCCCCATGGCAGAAAACAGACCTGTGGGCTCTGGTGAACATCAAGTTGAATGTAACTCAGCACTGTATCCTCACAGCAAGGAGGCCAACAGTTTCCCTGGCTGCATTTGGAAGAGCATTGCCAGCAGGTCAAGACAGCTCATCCTTCCCCTCTACTCAGCACTGGTGAGGCTGCATCTGGAGAGCTGGGTCCAGTTCTGGCCCCCCAGTACAAGAGAGATCTGGACACACTAAAGAGCGCCCAACAGAGATGATAAAGGGTCTGGAGATTCTCCTCTATGAGAGAGGCTGGAAGCTGTGCCCTTTCAGTCTGGAGAAAGGAAGACTGAGGAGGATCTCATCAACATATATACATCTGATGGGGGAGAGTTAAAGTGACAGACAAACTTCTTACAATGGTGCTTAGGGCAAGATGAAGCACTGAAATACAACAAACTGTATTTAAACACCAGGAGCGCTGGCACAGGCTGCCCACAGGCTGTGTGTGGGCTCTGCTCCTCAGAGACCTTCAGCAGCTGCCTGGATGTGGGCCTGGGCTCCTGCTCTGGTGTCCTTGCTGGAGTGGGGGCGTGGGCCTGATGGACCCAGAGGGCACTGCCAGCTTCTACCACATTGTGAAAACTTCTATCACAGCATGCTCTGATTTGAGGTCAATAAAGGGTTAAATAAGAACATTTTTAAAGCAGTGTTGCAGGCGCATTCATTGGCACCTAAGTAGCTTTTTGTTCCTACCTGTGTAACGCTAGCAGGGATGAGAACAATAAGTGAACTTTAGCACCAACTGTTTCTAAGGATGCGTTATTTTGTTCTCATTCTTAAATAAACCAAATGAAACAATTCTGAAATGCACTGCAGTTTTCTAACTGTAATGCTCCAGAAACAATTACTAGTCAGTAAGACCACTACTGTTTTTTGCTAAACATGAAAAAGATGTACACTTCCAAAACGTGAAGCACAAAATGTTGGCACCGTGTATGTTTTGGGTACAAAGCCAGACTTGGAATTCCAGGTCACACTTTACATTGCAAGTGTGATATTGCAGACAAGGCCCATTTAATGCTTAGAGACAATTTTTCCTTGAAGCTACATGAGTAATTAGTATGCTGTTAAATATTTATGTAAAGTTCCAAGGGAACACGTGCATGACTGCAGTGTGGATGCGTGTGAGAATAGCGTGTGTGAGAGCAGTGGAAGCCCTGAGCAAGCAAGACTTAGCTGAGCCCCTCACAGCTATTGCTTCAATTGAATGGGGAACCATTTGCACTGTATCTTCAAATTAAAAAACTGAAATGTTAATTTCAAACTGTAAAGCTTCCTAAAATGCATATTCCTGACTCATGCCACAGAAGAATACACAAACCCACTAAAAGGCCGCAGAGCAAGCGATTTATTCACAAACTAAAATATCGGCCCATTTAAAACAAACAAGTGAGAACAGTAAGCAAATTAATATTCACACATGCTTATTGTTACAGCTACAGTGGGGTGCAAGACAGTATTCCATCTAGGGATGCTTAATGGCACAAGTGATGACAACTGATGCTTAATGGGAGTGAAATGACCTCAGTCAAACCAGCTTTCAGCATCTGATACAGAGCAGTGCAGCACTTAGTTACTTCATGGTACTGATTTCCCCAAGTCGTGGCAGCACCCCTTTCCCCTCAGCTCTCCACACTGCCACTGCTATTGGCTCCAGTATGGTCTAATGAGCTCTGCACTGCCAGGGAACTAGCAAGAAGTCTGTACAAAAACCTGAAAATGGAACAACCACAAATTTCAACCAAGTCATCCAAGAGAGAACATACAATTGAATCTATTAGTTAGACGAATGTCTTGCTTATGGTACGACTGCCCATATTCATCTTTAAAAGAAGCAGATTTGGTAAACAGGAACAAACCACAGCCCATTCCTCATCACAAGTTGTATCTTAAAACATAAAAAACCCCAACATTTTAATGGCAAAAAAATTGTCAGCTGAAACCCCTATTTTCTCCAGAAAAGTCTTCAAGCATGCAAGCACTCCAGTTAATGAAAGCATTTCACATTAGGCCTAACAGAAAAAAAAATTTAAAATGTGAAATCCTCCCAGAAAGACAAGAAAAAACCCTATGATGTACACAATTCTGTAACTACCTGGTTAGCTATTAGGAAATGATCCCCACCCCCCCCCCAAAAAAAAAAAAAGAAAAAAAAAAAAGACAAAAGCCCTGCTCCTGCATTGCAAGCAATGTTGCTATATGGTCTCATTTCTCTGCCTCGGTTGCTTTAAAAATCAAACCCTCCTGACGTGGGTAGGAGAGGTCTCTGTCTGATGCCTGAGTTGTTTCCCTCTCCACTTTGCACACACTGTTCCTGTGGGGCAACACTCTCCTTTGGCCTCGCATGAACCAGGCACAAAAGCATTTTCAGTTGTCACTTTACAGCTCTTCTTATCTTCAGCTCTACAGCAATGTGCCACGTCGGGCAGGGCTACCCTTGGACATACCAACTGCCTGCAGTGTGGGGAAAGGCAGCGTGTTGTGGTGGAAAGCAAAGAAAAATGCGTCAGGATGAGCTCTCTGGTTCCCCGAGATGCTTAATCATGCCACTAACTGCTACAATGAAGATTGCTTTTGTTGAATATATTTATCCCTCAAAATTAATTTGCAGCCCTTCTGCCATAGCAGGGTATACCATCTCCCTACAGAATATTGGTGTTTTTCTTGCATAACTGGCTCTTTGACAGCATACACACACATATATATATATATAGCATCCATGCACAAACAGTTCATTCTGCCCTGGTTATTTTCCCTGTCATAGCATGATTATTTTTAGCCCTCATGTGATCCATCAGTATTTTCCAGTTCTGCTTTAGTCATCCTGCTCTCACAGAATATTTCAAACTAAAAAGTCCATCAGCCTTCAGTTCTAACGATCTCTCACATTTTTAGCTTATATGTAAATAATTAATTTCATTAAGCTGTCTTCTAGTCATGCGTTTTTGACACTCCTCTCCCATACAAAAAGCTCTGATACACAGAAAACCTTACATAAGCCACTAAGCTGAAACCCTGACAACTGGATCAAAATTTTCAATTTGATCAGATGAAGCTTTTCTGGTTTTATTTTTTTCCTGAGAGGATTAGAACCGGCACAAAGAACAACATGCTAATATTTTAATCCCTTCCAATAATCATGATTCTACATCTGCAGGCTGTCTACCACTGCATAGAGAAAAGCAGGGGGCTGCAGGACACCTAAAAGCTCAGGGTGGGCAGATGGCATCCTATCCGAAAGCAGCTGTGGCCCTGCTGGCACAGAGCCCACGTTGTTGGGCTGTGCTGCGGGTTCACCCCACAGAGGATGAAAACACATTCATCTGCCAGCAGGGATCTGTGTCTACCTGGCATTCCTCGCTGTACCTGCTGCTTCTAGAAGAAATATATACACGTTCCAAAGTCATTTTTCCTTCACAGCACTACCAAACCCTGCAGCAAATCAGCTCTGTCTCCTGAGAAAGATGGGCACAGGATGAGGGTGGCACATGAGATTAGATGGAGGAGCTGCTTATGCTGCCCTTATGAGCTGCATTCTCCTTGACCTGCCTGACTCACCAGCTGGAGTGCCTTCCAAAGGGGTATGGAAGGGCCTGCTGGCGTGCTCACCAATAAACACAAAAATTGGTGTGTTTTCACACTTCTCAGGTTCTGCTTTGTGTTAATGTCATTTCACAAAATGAAATGAAGACCACACTTGGCTTCTGCAGAGATATAGATACGTGCCACTTTGTGGTATAGAAAGCGACTATCAGATACAGTGGGTCTGCAGAGATTAAGAGTCAGATTAAATCACCAAAAATAATCCTAACTCGCTGCTGCTACCTTTTAGGGTAAGCTTTCCAAGCAGCCCTTAGGGAATTGACCACTTTTTTGGTAACTGAATGACATTATCCTTGTCTACCTCTGAAAACACAGCATCAGAACTCTATTATGAATCATTAAAGAGATTAACACCTCCTCCTAACTTACTCTAAAACAAAGGTCTGGCAAAGGGCACCGGAATAGCTGTTGTGTGGAACAATACGAATCATCTGAACACATGGAATTGCTAGCAGCTAAATACATTATTCCCTTAAAATATTCGATCAGTTTGGATCACACGTTCAATCAATTTGGATTAAGCCTATTTAAAGGTCAGTGACAAAAACAAAAATATTGTGTAAGTGCCCAGAAGTCTACTTGCTCCTAACACTGAACAAAAGATACATACCTGTCTACTGCACACTGCTTAAAAACTTCTATATTACATTAAAAGATCTGCTGGTTCCTTTGTATCATGAATGCATCTTTTAATTTTGTTAGTGATTCGAAATCCATTACAATTTCAAAGCTTCAGTGTTAAAATAAAGTGGGTGACACTTATTAAAAGTAACAACAAAAAAAGGCAAGATGTTATGGCACTCTGCTACTGGTGTTGGCAATTACTTGCTGAGTCGGTGCAAGAGGTTGTTGTATCAAACAGCCCACAATGTTTACTACTCCCATAACAAAGTCAAGCCAAACTGTGAAGTTTAGCTGTGCCCCAAACCTCAGACATTTCACTGAAGATTCATGGCTGTAGAATAACAAATAGCTGGCATTAAAGTTATAAACAGCCATTTAAATTATGCCATCTGATGTCACACTTATTCATGGGCATATATTCTCTCTTCATGACTGCATTACTGTGGAAGATGAAACTTAAGATGGGGTGGGGAATTCTTCAACCGCTGTAGAACTCAGCAGACCTCATCTTCTTGGGCTTTTTTAAAATAAATGGTTAAGCTTGTTTTACTCACATAAGTAGTATCACTATTGTTCCTGTAACATCTGTAATGAATATCCCTGCATTTCCAGTAAAGTGTGCACTTGCATGCACATAATAAATCTGTGACCGACACTTAACTGTTCTACAATGCAAGCAGCAATAAAAGCTAGAATTCTTATTTCACCTATCGTCACACAGTGCCTACAACTCTCCCCCCTGCCTCAACAGAAATTAAATTAGTGTCCTGCCTATCATAAATCCAGACAATACTTAAATTAATAAGGAAGGAAGCTTTCCATGAAAAAAAAAAACAACCATCCGTGACCAAAAGAAAGTTGATGAAAACACACCACATATCTCAGTTGTCCTACTCCATGTTGAAGGCACATGGCATGCTCTCGTATGACCAGCAAAAGGACATGAGATCACTGCATTATCATCCAAACTGACTGGCATCTTCCATTCCAGCAGCTACTCTACCTCTCCAGAATTGCCACCTCCATTACCTTAATTGGGATGACGCATTTGTGACTTCAGTAAAAACAGACCACTGCCAAGAAGGATCAACAAACACGGTAAATTCTGTATTTAATGGAAGTGTATTTTCCAATTTATCAAAAGAACCACCTGATGCTCACTAGGGTTTTTAGTTTTCAGAGGCAGTGCAAGATACCACGCAGGAAATTATAGCATACTAAGCCCTAGAATTCAAAAGCTTAGATACAAGATGACATAGAAACAAAGATGTGAAGAAAACACAGTGATAACAGAACCACCATCACTTCAGAATCTCAGAGCAGCACTGCCCAGCTATTAGGTGCTCAGCTTCCTGGGAGCACTAAGGAGATGAAGGCAGCTGGCCAAGTAAGCCCACTTTTGACGTCAGAAATGGTCAGAGCAGATTGCTGAAATCTGGGTACGATTCCAGAGTTTAAGCCAGTCTAAACCTGAGGTTGCCTGATACCTGCCCCTTCCCTTTTGCCAACAACTGAGCTAATGAGAAGACAGGTCACAGAATTACATCAACCGAAAAGTAATCATTATTTGAGGATTGGTTTAGCATAAATAAGGCAAACTCAGGACATACCAATAAAGGAACTAAGAGTATGCGCGTGTGTTTCTGTATGTACAAACCTACACATCTGTAGGCAACTAACTGCAGCACCACTTGCTTAGTAGTTACTTAAAAAAAAATTTTTTTAATCTCTATATACCTGCTCTTCTGTTCACTTAACAAGTTACCAAGAAAAATGGCATTGTTGAGTGACCAGTAGTGGTCATATTAAATAAACACCAAAGACCAGGTTTAACTGTTTACTCCTGTTGCAGAAACACAAAGCAAAATGTCAGAAGACAGATGTATTTTCAAGAAAGAGCAATAGCTGCTACGCTGCTCACTTAGAAGACTGAGCTATAAACTGCCACAAAGCACACATTATTATTAGTTTTCTGCTTTCTGGACAGCGCTTACAATTTAGCACCATGAAAAGAGTAACTTTAAAAAATTCACTGTGTTATAAATTTCCTGTTCTTGAAAACACATGCAAACAGTACAACCAGTGATGACTATCCTAAATGTCTTTTTCTCCGCCAGAAGATATCACAACACTTATGCCCAGGGTTAAAGTGGGGGACATCCCAGGGCTGAGAGGACTGAGCACACCATAAGAAGTTAACTTCTGACACGACAGATGCTAAGTCTATGACACAGATGCTAAGTCTATGACAACACAGAAAGAATAGCTCATGCACATGAGGTATTTTGGTAATTTCTAACTAGTATTTAGGTAAAATTGGTCACAGCTTATGATCATCTTCAGAGATAAACACAGAATTACTTTAGACACAACATACCTGCAGTAGGAGAGTTTGCATGGTGGGACTTTTTGGGCAGATTAAAGATTTGTTCACCAGGATCTGGTGGGGGAAGAGCATCTTGGCCTTGTCGAGCTTCCACAGGATCATACTCTTTCCCATCATAGTTAGCATCAAAGAACTTCTTAAACCACTGAATGAAATCTAAGTTGTCTTGGAAGCGTCCTTTGACCAGTTTTTCCACTGGAATTACCTGAAAGGTAGAATAAAGTTTCCAGTAATAAACCATTGACATTTTTGTATTTAAAAAGACAAACAAACAAAAAACCATGCACACTAATTTGGAAATATATATATATATATATATATATATACACATATATATATATATATATATATAATAGAATCATAGAATGGCCTAGGTTGAAAAGGACCATAATGATCATCTAGTTTCAAACCCCCTGCTATGTGCAGGGTCACCAACCACTAGAACAGGCTGAAATTGATCTGAAAAACTTGACAGAAATGTCTAGTAGAACAAAAGTGAGGCTATAAGGAACATCACTATCAATGTCCTACAGATTTTTCACATAAATGAAGTCTCCAAAAGGTGACTGGTGGTAGGAAAACAGTGCAAGGAGATGGCTTTATAATGCTTTGAGGGAAGCACAAGCTTCCAAGATGCTGTGGGCAGACAGTGACTATGAAGAGAATGCTGCAGAAAGAGGACTGCCCTGCCTTGTTGTATGAAGTTAGCTTCACACAGCTAACTAAAGAGCTAAGTTCAACAGACATTAATACCTCCTGAATGCATTCAGTTATCAACTGGAAACAGAGTACATAAAAGCATTATAATTTTCATCTGTTTCTTCAAGGTTAAGCCAACTGTCCAGCATTTTGTAAGTCTATGATACTGCTGTAACAATTCACATAGCATTTTGCATATCCCTTATTAGTTTCATTTGAGTAGAGCAAGTTTTCTCCCTATAGAGAAATAGGCAACGTTCATCTTTATTGGGCTTTGCAATGCTTCATTATCAAATCATACTGTAAATAGAAGCACAACATTTCAGGAAATAACAAAGGTTTCCAATTCTTCATGAAATTATTGTGGGACTTTGTAATAAGAACGTTTAAATTTCAGGATAAGGCAACACTAAAATCAGTGGAGAATCCCCAAATGATTTACAGGTACTGCATCTGTATAAAACTGCAAGAAAAGAACATAACTTCCATCATACAAAATCAGTATCTTGTGGTTGAATAACAAGCCATTTCCTAAGAGAGACCTCCATTCCTAAACTTTACAGATCACATGCACTGGCCAGTCTACCAAATCACTGGGTGTATTATTCCAGGTTTTGAATACTTGAAATTCCCTAAAGCCAGTTTTGGACAAGAAATGTGGAATATTTATAATAACAGTATACTTCCAGGTTGTTCTGTTGGAAATTCAGGTCATCGGTAATTTTATGGTATCTCAAATTAAAGCCCTGGTTCAATGATGACAAAGAATTTCCAACGAAATAATACCAAAAGATGGTATTTTACCAGAAGAGTCTCTGATATTAAGAAATAATGAGTTAAGCTGTACAACTCCTTATCGGACTTTATTATTGACTTTATCCAGTTTATACAGCTTGTGAAGCCTGCAATGACTGAAATACAAACACAGAATGCCTACCTTATCCACATTCATTCTTTTAAACGATGCTTGCAGAAGCTTGAAGTTGTGAATGTATTCATGTTCCAGCTTTGCCTGGAACTTTACTTTCTTCAAGCTTATACACCCGGGGAACAACATGTCCATGAACTGGCAGTAAGCTGCTCCTAAAACAAGAGAATGCATTGACATTAATCCAGATTCACCCGGCTAAAACCAAATGGCGCTTAATGTCATTAACAGAAAGCATGAGCAGAAAGCAACCATGCTGAATAAGTCCCTGCTGTAATTCAGTCTAGCACTATGCATCCCAGATGTACTTGTCACATTGCTCATTGTACACTGGATGTTCTCATGTAGTTTTTCCATTGTCTGGATGCACCAAGCACTTTTGTACAACAACTGAAGAATCACCACAAGTAACACAAAGCGCATCTTTCTTCTACTTAAAACTGACGTTCCTGGAGTCCCTTTAAACATTAGGACTATCCATATAGTGTGATGATTACAGCCAAAGTAGAGATCTCCTAGTAAGTTCCTTCATTCTTCACAGTACCCAAAATTCAACTAAGATTTCATTTATTCTGGCAATTGAAGTTGGAAGCTATCCCATAGACTGATGAATTCCAAGGTAGTATTTCAAGATTACCCCAAATCATGATTGAAAAATAAAACTGCAAAGCTCCTGCCTGTTAAAATACACTAGTCTTTTTCATCCCCTTGAAACCAAACATCGATAATGATCTTTATCACCTGTGAAAAGTGTTTGAATTGACTTTAATGTAGACCACCCAGTACTCACAGATTTCAGAAGCCAAGCTCCTAGCTTGGCAGCTCACTCAAAACAAGATTTCCACGTTCAACTTTGAGAGCTATGTGAACTTACATATTAGTAAGCAGGGGTATGTGAGTGTAATTAATTCAGCATAGAATGGCAAATATATGGAAAAATTTCTAAACAGTGTGCTAAATACAGCCAATAGAGATAACTTTTCTCATATTCAGAGATCTTCCCTCTACATTATCGCATAGCTGTCATTTGCAAAATGTCTACTGCTGACTCAATTAAGTGTTTTGAAATTAAAGCTGAAGACGTTTGAGGGAATCAGAGGATCACCAATTTAAGTTCTCCTTCAGAAAAGAGTTTGCTAGTCAACAAAATGCTTTATACTTCAAGACTCACTAAGGTCCATATCTGAAGCAAGAGGGCACAGGCTTAACACCTCCACTTGAGCACACAGGCCAGGTAAGTCAGCACCCAAACCGTCACAAGTTGAATTTGACTCCCACAATAAGGACTCCTGAACACTTACTGCAAATCAGTTTTGATACACTTAAGTGTCCAAATCTCACCTAACAGTTCAGGACAGTATCTGTGAAAACTACTTGATCACCCTGCCCATGCAAAAACCAAATTAACAAATCAGACACCTGGTTTGTCTAGTTTTGCAGGAGGGGCAACAATAATTGAAGCTCGATGATATTTTTCTCCGTGGGTATGCATGTGTTTTGGCAGGACCAATTTTACACATCAGATAGTTCTCATTCTCTGTGGCCACCCAAGCTCCATATACAAAGGGTGACAGAGCTTGTAACTCCTCCAAAAGAGGAACAGAGATTCGGAGTCAAGTCTAAAAACACCTAAATACTGATATGAAATTTGGTCAGTGACTTAACAAGATCAAGCTTGAAAATAACTTTAATTTTTAAAAATTCTCTTCATGTTGACTAGCTTTGTGAAGGGAAAACTGTTAGAAAAAATAATCTGATTTTCCAAGGACACCTTGTACTTAGCTGTTTGCAGTGGTTTTGATATGATAAGAATCAAAGTAAGATATTCCCTAAAGGGAAAGAAGCCTTCTGGCAAGCTACAAACATGAGATGACACATTTGCATCTTCTTATAGGAAGCTATACAAACAGAATTAGTAATTCAAAACCTATCCTTAGCAGGAGAACTGGCACATATGCAGCAACAGAAAAATGACATTACAATTAAAAGCATGGATATACAGATACTGCAAGGCTCAACTACACTTATTACTATTTAATTTCATGCAAAAGGATTATTATGCAATCATTTCATGTTATAAATTGAATTTGTTCCCAACTCTGCCCTTTCATCCCACCCGTATCTCAATTATAAAGTTTACTCTGATATCTAAGTAATTGCCTGGAGGCCTTGAAAACGCACTGTGCAACCTTTCATCTACATCCTTTTAGAAAACTGGAAACCTAAAATGTTCACATGAGATTTCCTCCTTCTGCTAGCGATGCAAATTCCTCTTGCATGCCTTTAGATAGAGTCTGACTAGACTAGAGACTTTAGTTAAGACATTTCCTCGTGTTTCCTTGTCCTCGTGCAAGTAGTTGTTTCTGTATTTTATCAGCCAGGAGGTGGTCCTGGGTCTGTTCAGTGCCTGAGGGCAGAGAACACTGGCACGCATCCATGTGACGGTACAAACCCAGTCTCTGACACAATAACCAAGCCTGCTGCCAGACTGCTTCCCCAACAGGAGGATTTTATTACAGCAGCAAACACAGCTTATTAAAATGCTTCTTTCTGAAGCGCAGAGGCAACATGCAAATACAGACTGAACTCAGTTCTGCAAAGTACAAAAAAGAAACTATTTCTGATTCCCATATAATAGAAAAGAAAGTTACAGGTGTCACTACATTTAACTGGGACTACTAGATTTTGGACATCAAGATTACATATATATTTTATACAAAATAGGCATTACTTATTTAAAATTTTGCTCCTAAGGCCTGTGGCTGTCACAGTGCATTAGGATGCCTGCATGGCAGAACCAGGATGCTGCTTTCAACACTGTCAACTGTTGAGGTTTCATAGAGGCAGCAGGAGAAGAAGCCTGACAGAAGTAATGCAAGATCGTTGTGCCTTTGCTTCTTGGCCCCAGCACGCATACATGCAGTTCCCTGCATACTGGGCAGCACTTTAGGAATATTCTATTTACCATACAATTGATGTTTCAATGTAGCTGGCCAGGAAAGGAGTATTTTTAACTCAACATCAAGAAAACAGCAGTAGGGATGATGACAGCGTGGTTTTTGATGGATACTTCTTGCATAATTTACATGGACAAAATGGTTTTATGTCACTGTATTTTATTTAAGATTTAAAAGCTTCCCTGCATTTTCTGATAAAAAGCAGCAGCCTTTTCCCACAAAAAATGAAAATAACAGCAATAACAATACAGCCCAATCTCTCCCACACCAAGACAAAAACAAATTTTACCTGTCTAGAATTGCTCTCAGAGTACATCTGTGTCTATGACCAAAAAACTTATATATATTTAAAAATCTGCAAACACACACACACACAGACACAGAAATAATGTGAAATCTCTTCAAAAGATGGATAAAAACCACAGCTGGTAGCACTGGGGAAGAGGGATTACTGAACGTGGGAGACACGCTGACGTTAAACCCTCCCAACTCTCTATTAGCCAACAAGCAATTCTGAATCCAGGCGCAGAACCCCTTTCACTTTTCCATCTAGAACTCTGACGCAGCCACCAATTACAAGAGATATTCACAGGCCAGAAGCCAAAACCAACTTGCAAACACAACCAGTGAGCGGAAACTCCATGCCTGCCTTCACAGCGCAGGACACAACAGCAGCTCAGGGGGCTGCAGCATCCTGCTGGCACACCGACCATGAGCACAACCATCTTCACTGACTCCATTTTAATATTTATAAGAAAATAACAGAGTGGAGAATCTCAGCAGTGTTGAATCTGACCGGCAGACTGCTGCTGTCTGAAGGGAGCCTTGTGACTCGTTTACTACTCCCTCCTCTCTGGGAGGAATCTGACTGTGGCCTAGATTGGAGAGCCGGGCAGCATCGCTGGCTGTGGTTGTGCATAGCAGGCTGTGCTGTGCATGGCACTGGGCTGGGGGGCGGGCTACTGGCCAGGCTGAGGGCAGCGGGGGGAAGCATATCTGGGGCAGTGCTCAGAACCATGCCCAAGTTATTATTTATCTCCTCAAGGAGGAGCTGAATCAATCCTTCTTATCCGATGTACCTCTCTGCTTGTCCCTTCATCACTGCATCACGTGGAGGTGAGGTCCCTCAAAGTCATGGAAAATCACAGCAGACAGCATGGGAACACAGAGGAGCTGTGAAAAGGCAGGGCCTGTCTGTGTGGTGGTAGGCTTTAGTTCAGTTCTGCTGTCAGAACTGTGGCAGAAAAAGCTAAGTTGCAAACTAGAATTTTGCTGGAAATGTTTAATAAAAAATTGGATCTAAAAACAGCATGTGATTCAAGCCTCAGCCAGGCCTCAGTTTGATTTTCAGGCACACATTTTTGGAAAAAAAAAAAAAAAAAAGAAACAACAACAACAACAACAAAAACTTATTTGGGAAAAAGGCCAATTGCACCTTTTTCTGTAATTACAGTTATTTGCTTCAAGGATCTTTTTTTGTTCTTTGCTTCAAGGATTTGTTTTTTAAGATTCTCTAAAAATGTATCCTGTCACATTAGACAGAAATTCCTTCAAATTATTTGTTCACTCCAAAGCTGCCACAAGCTAATCAACCACTTGGAAAATGCGGCATGATTCCCATGCGTGTTAGTCATCAGTGCTTCAGCTCACTGGAGCGGCGTTGCCAACACGGATGGGAAAGTGCACACACCCAGCACTTCTGTTGCTGAGAGAACAACAGAAAAAGGCAGTAACTTATAAGGAGCATGTGTGACATCGCAGTGTTCATGAGAAATGGGGAAATAAATACAAAGGCCAGCAATCAGTGTTTGCAGTACAGCAGCACTTTTGGCTTTTTACCTCCAGCTGCTTAAAACTGTGTCCTCAGAAGCAGATTAAGGTAGGCACACAGCAGGTTTTGATGTAAAACATGAGCCCATATCATGATACTTACATCTCAAATGTGTTCTTCTATTCTGCCACTGTCTTTTCTTACATTAAAAAGAAAAAAAAAAGTCAGTGACCACAAAGCTGTGTTACCTACAGCTGTGTTTAAGCACCCTATTTGCAGCACCCATATGACTGAGGACATAGAGCAATGAATTCTGCTGCTCCGTTGAAAAAAAAAAACAAACACATTGATTTAAAGAGGTTTCAGCCCATTTCCTGGAGAACATCAGAGCCCACTGCAGTTTACTGCCTGCTTCGTGGTAGGGAAG